AAGAACGATTTCAAAGCGGTCCAAAACTCGGAACTCACAAGCTAGAAGCCTAGCTTTGTCATGATTGTGGGTGCTGATGGGAAAAATATATAAGTACTAGATGGTATATATATAATATATAAGATAACCTGTATTAAATCACTTAGATAAAATACCCAGGCATCAAAACATAAATCAAGAGCATAACTACTTTTCCCTTACTTTTCTATCGGCGTCTATAGAGTTTTAATCATCGCATCTAATGTTCTTTATAAAAATACCGTTAAACTAATCTTATCCGTTTGTAATCTAGGCAAATAGTCTACTAACCCTTTTCCAAATTTTCACTGTACCACAAAGACGAATAGGTGTCTTGTACAATTTTTGTACAAAACATTTCCACAAAGGGTCTCGTTTCGTCTAGACTAAATTTATGGTGTTATGGTATGTTGTTATGGTATCACTATTTGGAGATAATTTTCGGGGGGCAGACTTTGACCGTAGTAGAGAATATCCCAGTGCACAGTTGACCGTGACATTGATTGGAGCAATTGCTCAAAGACCACTTTAAGCCTGAACGTAAAAAGATTATCAACCGATAACTAAGATTCCCAGTATTCAATTGGCTAGGTCTACATACGGCGATGTGATAACACTTGTAAAAGCAAACCTTTCCTTATCGCAGTTACAGCCTTCGATATATAAGCTAGTCGGAACGACTACCCCGACCAATCTGTTCTTTACCATAGACCAATCGACATGGTCAACATTAGATTAACCACTCAGCTCCTACTGATGTCCTTGGCACTAGCTAGTGCTAGTTTCGGTCTGAAACCCCCAAAAGCTTCTTTACTGGAGCTCGTTAGCCCTCAAACCTTCCACACGATTTCGGGGCTAAGACGCCTACCGGTGGAGTTCTTCAACCACTACCAGAACCTAACTATTTTAAATCTGGCACAGGACCTGTATCGGGATCAGGACACGCGACTACCGTCTACGGATGATCTGCAATGCCTCGCAGATCTACAAACACTGGCGAAAGATGTGTCGACAGCAAAGGTCTGGGCCCTGAAAAGTAAGTCTTCACTCGTCCCAGGAACTGAAGTCTAGAGTTCTCCATTCAGAAAAAGAAACACTGAATTTGTGTATTACATTTTATATTTTTTAAGAAGTGTGGAACTATTTGCGTTTATTTAAAAGGTATATTATATAGATTGGTTAAAAAATACGTAGTGAAGCCAAGTATTTTATAGTTAATTTAAATATTATTCGCTTTGACTTTGGTCCATGGAAATAGTTAATATGGAAATTGTTTTTAATATTTTTTTTTAACTTAATATTTAACTGAAAATTTCATATTTGATTTGGATTTAAAAGCCAGACATTTATTTTCACTATTCCAAATTTTTAACCAATGTTTGAAAATAAGTTTTGTATAAATAGCAATTCATGCATTAACTAAGAAAATGTATAAATCGTGTTATACATTTTGCCTTTTTCTTTCTCCATTGAATTCAATGGAATTGACCAGTGAATTTAACAAATACCCACAGTTTCTTGTCTTTTATTATTTTATCATCAAAACTTAACTTAGACACCTCCCATAATGTTTTCATAAATCTTTCATTCGTTGCAGTGATCGACTCGTGGGGCACACTGCCTTCGGGAATCCTCTACGGCAACCTGATCGATCTGGGGAACTTTGACGAGTGCCTAGGCATAGAGCACTCTGTGACCACCAGTCACAGTGTCCAGGGCAAGTACTGCCTCGCGAGGATTGCCCTTGCCCCTAGCATTTCGCCCCTTTTGTCACTTAAGACGGCGGTCTGTTTTCCCGCCTCCTGTTCCGCCGCCCACATGGACACGATGCTACGGAAACTCTTCCAGAATCTTCTCAACTTAGAGCTCAACCCGGAGGTTCCTCTGGTAAGGGATGACACATGCAAGACTGCCGATCGTGAGCCCTACGATGGACTGACCATATTTACCATGTATGTAAGCCCAGAAGGTTTCAAAGAAAAGTCTTAACTGTGATACTTACAGAGTCGTATTGTCGATATTGGCTACCCTTATGGTCCTGGCCACTCTATATGACTACCTATTGTGCCAGGACAAGAGTAAGTAAATGCAAAGGTGAGTCCTACAACTCAAACCCATTGGCTAATGTGAAAATTCTTTTGGCAGAAAGCCTAAATGTGTGGATCAAGGCGTTCTCGGCAAGGGCCAACTGCCGAGTTCTCTTCCGACTGGTGGACACCAGGAGCAATCCCAATGTCATAGACTGCATCCATGGCATTCGGTGTCTGTCCTTCATCTGGGTGGTATATGGGCATGTGTATCTCGTTTATGTCTTCGGTCCCAATATGAACTATGTCGACCTGGACAAGGTAAGCTAGCACAAAAACTGAAATCGGTTAAATGTATTTTAAATTATATGTTTTCTTTGGAAAGTGGCGCAAATCGGCGTACAGCATGCTATTGCAACATGCTGCTTATTCGGTGGACACCTTCTTTTTCCTGAGCGGCCTCTTGATGGTAGTGATTGCCCTGCGTGCAATGGAGAGGTATGTTTGGTCTTATGTGGTGTACTCACAAAAAAACCTAATAAATCCAAATATATTACACTCAATTCCAATATGTTTATTTTAGTTCTTTTAAGTTCTGAAATATTTTCGAAAAAGATTTTAATATCTGAAATATTTAACTTAAATTGCAACCATATTTAACTAATGCAATTAAATAATATGCATTGTATCTTATATATTGATTTTATATTTATACAATTTTGAATAGATAGATAGATATCTATTTTTGTATTATTTTAATTATGCTGATGCTACCGATACTTATGACTGTACTTGCAGGACCAAGGGAAAGCTCAATGTGCCCCTGATGTATCTGCATCGCTATCTGCGTCTTACTCCCGTCCTGGCCTTGGCCATCATTGTGTACATGAAGATCCTGCCCCTGATGGGCGATGGCCCGCTCTTCGGAAAGGTCAACTTCGACGATTACTCAAAGTGCGAGCGCACCTGGTACTGGACGCTCCTATATGTCCAGAACTATGCCACCCATGAAATTGTAGGTTCCCTGGCTCTATTCTTGGAAAAATCGATCTAACTTCATGGCAATCCTAATTTTGTACAGTGCATAGGTCATTCCTGGTATCTGGCCGTCGACATGCAGCTGTATATCATTGCGCCCTTGCTCCTCATCGCCCTCTTCAAATGGAAAAGGAAGGCCGCCGCGGCGATCTTTGTCATCATGCTGATCCTGGCCGCCTGTCTCTTCAGCATGATGGTCATCAAGAACATTTCCTCGTGAGTAATATAGCCTTTACTGTTTAATTTAAGAAACGTTCATCGGGCTTTTAACTTCAGGTTAATGCAATATATAGGAAAATAAAATGTATTTGCTAGAAAAGTTGCTCCGGTTTTCACTTCCAAACGTTTCACACGAATTCGATTTAAGTTTGGATCAGTTTATTAAGCAATTTATAAAAAATAGTAAGTTTGAGTAAATCATTCAAAGGTGAAAAGTCTTTTCGCCACATAATTACTGAGCAACTATTTACTATGAACTTAATAGCTGTTATTGAATAATTATAACTTAAATAACTCGTGTGTGACACATCTTACACTTACTTTTATTGCTTAAATTCGTAATCCATTTATAAGTGAAAAAAGTCATTAATTGTTAAACCAGCAGCCTACATTTGCTTTCTATTCTATCTATGAAGCACAATTGTATAAACTTTTGCTCGATTCAAATTCGAACCCGAAATATGAGCTAATTACTTTAACTACATATTTCTGTAGTATTGCGCAGACCCACGATGCAATGAAGAAGATATATTTCTCCGCACACACACGGGCTTCTCCGTATCTAATTGGCATCCTGTTTGGATACTTCCTGCACGTCAACCGGGGCAAGTCCTTCAAGCTGAACCCCCTCGCAGTCCTGTTGGGCTGGCTGATTAGCCTGGCCCTGCTCTTCACCTGCTTGTTTTCGGTGTTCGGGTATGCGAAGACTTCGGACACACCACCAATTTTGGAGGAGGCATTCTACCTGACATTCACGCGGATTGCTTGGCCCCTGGCTCTCTGCTGGGTGGTGTTTGCCTGCATGCAAGGATACGGCGGGCTGGCCAACAGCTTCCTTTCCTCGCCGTTGTGGCAGCCTTTGTCCAAGCTCTCCTACTCCGCCTACATATTCCACATGTTCATCGAGAGCCTCACCGGTGGCTTGACGCGTACGAACACCTGGTTCAGTGACTACCAAGTGGTAAGATGAGAAATTAATGATAATGTACAACAGGGACTAACTTGGGAACCATTACAGATGCTTCGATTCTGGGGCGACTTTGGATTTACCCTGCTCCTTGCCTTCGTCGTGTACATCCTGGTTGAGGCGCCTCTCGGAAATTTGGAGAGCCTCTGGCTGCCCACCAAAAAGCCCCATCTCCCAGCTGCCGAGCAGTTAAAATCAAAATCAGTGGAACGTACACCGCCTGTACCACCGCTGAAAAATAAACTGCCCCTTCCGGAAGACGAATCTCGAAGCTCCTTTAAATAAGTACTTATGTACACTGAGAGAATAGTCTAAGATATTTATAATAGGATAAGATTCTTTTTTTTTCAAATAAATTTTAATAAGTCAAGTTTATTGTATTTTTATTTCATTTATTTACCAGCCAAAAATTGATAAATTTAAACTTTTTATTTGTCACCCATTTTATTATTTTTTGAAATTGTTCACATATGAAAGATTCTTAGCGAGACAGACCAACAGCTATGTGTTAACTTATTGGGCGCATCTCACTTGAAAAACCAGAACTGGTTGTAAAAAAGCCAAATTAGCAGCACTGCTGATGACGCTCTCTCGTTTTTTCGGAAAGCAGAATGTCAGCACACATGCAAACTTTGCATCCGGCAGAAGGCAAAAGGAACGCGGCATGCTGAAAGAGAGAGAAAAGAGAGAGCAAAAGGAAACACATGATAAAAACACATTTTTTTCTCGGGCATTTCATTTGTGTTTTGCAACTAGTATCCGTCGGTCGTGCGAGTACGAAGTGAATCCGAGTTCAAATAAAAGCTTTTGTATTTACATTTATGTGCATTTATTTCTTAATAACGAACAACACACCCCCGCTAATAAAAAAACACAGTAAAATTGGTAATTCTGTAATTCCTTTTCTTGTGCGCGAACAGCGACCAAAACATATGGGTGGACCTTAGTCGCAGTCTTTTGGGGTGCTCGTTTTCAAACAATATTCGCGAACCAAATTATAAATCATAATGAATGTTAAGTCGAGATCCAGCCTTTGGAGATTAGCTAAAGAAGATAAAGCGAATAGATCGTTAGCTTTGGATGATATAGAACATGAATCTGATTTCACAAATAAATCAAATATTTCTGCTCCAGAATTACCTGGTGACTCGAAGCAGAATGAGCCCAATAAATCGATAAGATCTAATCAAAATAATTGTCTGACTCAAAACCAATTTGATCAACTCGTTCAAGTTCTAAGCTCCGAAAATATAAATGTTACCCGACTAGAGCGGAGAATTGATAAAATTGAGTCCCAGCTTTCGATGCTGGCAGGCCAAAATATCAAAATTCTTGCAACATTAAAAAAAATTGCGGACAAATTTCAAACCTCTCTGCCGAAAGCAGAGTTTCCAATAAAAGCAATTGAAGAACTTGATGAAATAGAAGCTAAAGTAGCGGCAAACCCGGACAAATATGTGAGCAAGCAGATTGTAAACGCAAAAGTCGTTCCTAAACTATTTATACTTTATAGGCTGAACTGTTCCGAACCATCCTCTCCCCTGAGGGCGTGAGAAAGCACTTGAATAGAATTTTGGATCAATCAATTCTCATGAATATGAACTATTCAGGAACGTGTTCCAAAACTGGCCTGAATTCCTACGTAAACTTAAATATGGCTTTGTTTGGTAAGTTTATAATACAACCACCAGCAATCTTCTTAGTACTTATGACTATTGTGAACATTTTATCCCACAGAGTCACAAAAAAAGGAAGGATACACATTCGGAGACTATGGGAAGGATGTTCGAACGGCATTCGCGAAATTAAAAAATAGGGTATACAAAGCCGCAACATTATCCAAAAAAATGCGTAAAGCGACAGAAGATGAAGATCTTGATCTCGACTCTAGCTGCAAAATGGATTTCTCTCCTGACGTAAATTAGTTTTCTTTACTTTAAGTTCTTTTCATAGGTGTGAAAAAAAGATAAGTGTTTTTAGATTCGCATTATTGGTTTGACTTGCAGTCATCCAAAATGTTAATTATTCAAACATGTTAACCAAAAGCGTTTCACCTAAAAAAAAACTCAATTCCTTAGTTTCTCGTCCATAACGAACAATCGTTACATCAATATTCAAACGCTACAATTTATAAAATTCGTTTTGAATTAAAAATAATGATCAAACATCAAAAATAGTTAAAAAATCAAGTATGTAAGTAAAATAAAAAGAAAAATATAAAAAAAGCAAACTTAAGAAAATTTAAATTATTATTTTAAATCGCGGTTTTTACATAAGAAGTTGGGGTTCAAAAAGTTGGACTTATCTCAACGCAACGGTATTTATAATTTTTTTTTAGAATATTAAAATATTTTATATATATAAATCAAAAATAATTTAAGCCAAATTACATATTTCTGCTAATGTGAACAATTGTATTGCGTTATTGGGATTATTTCGATACCGAAAGCAAAATCGGCTTAGTGTGCCTGCCCTATTGATTGCTAAAAAGGTAAATATCTGCGAAATGTGGATAAGATTAACCTATCGATAAATGTTTATTTGCAAAAATGGGGTGGGTGTATAAATAAATGTCTATCGATACTCGGCTGTCTTGCAGCACTGACGCTCTCAAAATCGCTATTTGGCTCCAGTAGTGCTTTTAACGTACTTCAGAATTAGCATAACAGTATTTTCAGAAATTATGGGCTCAAATAATTCTCAGAAATCAGTTTGAAAACTCTACGTTTCGTTTTTACCGTGCTCTTCAACCATGGATTGCGTCCAGAAATGTATCGATGCATCGATGACGCAATCGATTGCTGGCATATTCTCGCCTTGAACGGTCACACCTGCCTCCGTCTTCTTCTTTTCATCCCTTCCGTTTCCCTTTCTTTTCGTCTTCACGTTTCCGGTGAGTGCGTGTGCTCCGCGATTTGTTTAACCGAAATTCACATTTTAAAACCTCTTAATTCTCTTCCATTTGCAGCGGGAGTATTACGATACGTTCGCGTTCGTGTAACTTTGTGTTTGCCAATCAATCCAGGTAATGGCCGCTGAATAAAACTGATACCCAAATGGACGCACCGGGAAAAATATGTGCCCAATGTTGTTCCCAAATATACATATACATTTATTTTTTTTTTGCTGTGCCGAGCTCAAGTTGCCAATTTGTCAGCACACTCGATAAACAATATGTGAAATGGAAACTAACTGTATTTGGATAAGAAGAACAGCACCTCGAAAATGCCATGCTAATTTTCCCTATTATTTTTTTTTTGTCTGTGCAGAATGTTTATGCCAAAGGCCCATCGTGTCGCGATCTACGAGTACCTCTTCAAGGAGGGCGTGATCGTGGCCAAGAAGGATTTCCATGCCCAGAAGCACCCAGAGCTGGAGTCGATCCCCAATCTGCATGTGATCAAGGCCCTGCAGTCGCTGCACTCGCGCGGATTGGTCAAGGAGCAGTTCGCCTGGCGCCACTACTACTGGTACCTCACCAACGAGGGCATCGAGGAGCTGCGCAGCTACCTGCACCTCCCGCCCGAGATCGTGCCCTCGACCCTGAAGCGTCCCGCCCGCTCGGAGACCGTGCGTCCGCGCCCAGCCGCCGGCGGTCCACGCGGACCCGGAGACGCCTCCAAGACCGGCGAGGACCGCTCCGCCTACCGACGTGCTCCCGGTGGCAGTGGAGTCGACAAGAAGGGCGATGTCGGACCCGGTGCCGGCGAGGTCGAGTTCCGCGGCGGATTCGGACGCGGATCGCGCAACTAAACACCCCCCATGCGCTTCAGTTTTTTTTTTAATGTATAAATCAAACTAAACTCAGTAAAATGTTGAACTGAAGATCCCCCCTCAACATCAAACAGAAAAAAATGTGTGTGTGTTTTATATGACGAGCAATTATAAAGCAAACGCAAGTGAAAAATCGTGCTTTTTTTTATGTTTTTGGTCCAGTGATTGTGGCATGAAACTCGGAGCAGGATTCCTCCGATGCCGTCTGTGTGTTGATCCGTCAAGCGATCTAAGAAAATGGTATTGGAAAACCGCAAATGTTAGGGAAGCTAAGCGGAAACTAATGACAGGCAGCGATTTATAGATTTTAATTGCTCAAGCTGCGATTCCTCTTGTTTTTCCTATTGCAATTGAGAGAGAATTCCTCATTTTGGTCAGGACGTTTCTAATGCATTAAAGCCAGCGTTTTTAATGCCCCACAAATAGTACATAGACTTGAAAAGCAATAAGCACATTGCAAATCTATATAAACATGTGCAATTTACTTCGTGCGATTGCTCGCACATTCCAGTAGCTTTTAATTTGATTCAAATCGGTTGACGATGGATTTAACCTTCCAAAACTTGGTTGGTTTTAAATAGTATTCCGTACAAAAAACAGACAAAATGGCAAAGCAATAAGCTGTTGCTCGAATGTTTTGTCAATAAATTTTATTAGCTTATGTAGTTACAACGAAGGAAATTAAATTTCTTTTATTTTTTCGTTTAAGGAAATAGTCGAAGAAGATTGTAGTAGGGAGACAGCTAAGCATGCACATGATTTGTAGAAGAAAATGACAGTGTACATGTCTATTCACTTTTAATATCTTAAAAATTACAATGTAGTTTACAAGGAATGCTAAGAAAGATTATTTTAATTTACCACAATATGGGGAAAATAATAACTAACTAAAACATATATACTGGCTGCGTTCATAATGATTTTGCAAACATCAACAAATCGGTTCCAATATTCGGACTTGTTTTTGATTAGACACGATTTTATTTCCACTAAATGAATAGTAAAAAGCTTACATTTTTATAGTTTGCAGACTTGAACTAGTTTCGTACTTAACACATTGACAATGTTAAAGGTACAATATTAACAAGCTAAGTTATAAAATGACTGAATTTGTGAGACTAAATAGTTTAAAATTACTTACTTTTATCTTTTCTTTTCTTTTAGAAAATGTTTTATCCTTAATGTACACATGTTTTTTTTTTATAAATATACCAGATATATTGGGTGGAATGCATGTTTAACAAGAAGTAGTTAAGTTATTGGGTTTTCAAGCTTGGAAAAAATAAACGAAGTATTAAAGTAAAAACATATTTTATTTTATTTTAAAAGAATTCTTCGTTTAATTAAATATATTAGTTAAATCCAAAGAGTTACATTTCTAATAATTAGAATTAGTGCACGCAAAGTCATCGCAAAACCGTAATTGCTCCCAACAAAATCTTTTGGGCCTTTTTGTTATGATTTTACAAATTAACTTGAGGGCATACGGGTATTAACGAACTATTAATTGCTACATTTTTCGTGTAACTAAAGCATTTCTTGCTTTACTTTTTAAACGACGATTTAAGAATACCTTTTAATATAAAAGCTGGACTCATAAGTCTACCTTTTCTGGCTGTTTTTTCGATAAACTAGCGGTTTAATGTATTTACGATATATTAGGAGCAGCAAATTAACTTATTTGTATTTGGGACATGAAGAAAAGAAGGTAACATTTTCAGAAATATGGCATGCTTCAGTCGAGTAAAAACATTTTTGAATTTGTTTACCTCGTACCAATACAGGTAAGAATTTCCTCTTGCAGCGCGTCAAATAAAAATGTTACAACATATTGTTTTTACAAGAAACAATAATCCATTTGCTGGTTGATGACAAAATTTAAATCGATAAGCGACTTTACTATTCTGTTTTAGTGTTTAAGTTTGCATGAGACAACTGTTCTTCGTTAATTAACTAAATAACCAGATTAAATCTGGGTTTTTTTACCTCTCATTATTTCTTTTCAGAGCAAATGAAGTCATTGGAAATGAAGCATGCTTTTGCCGATGGAGCTACTGCCGCAATATCCCAAACTTATTCGAGGGATTCAATAAAAATTACTTTTTTTTTACAAAATAAGTGTAGTTTCATTATTTACAGTTTGTAGTATTCGTTAAGTAAAATGTACACCTAGTCTAGGGTTTCGTCGGTACCAATAAGTTTATGAAAATAGGTCTCTCGACCGAGGAGGTAGCGGGACAGACGTGATGCGGAAGCGCCCGGCCCGACGGCGAAGCTATCGCCGCTTTATCGAGATCTTCCCCTTGGCCAAATGCGACATGTTGATCTTGACCTTGGTCTCGTTCGTGCGCTTCACCCAGACCTGAAAGAGCCAATCTGGATTAGAATCAAGGACAATCAAAGAAAAGGGGGAAGGGGAGTACGCACCACTTCGTTGCCAATGGCGGTGATGGTGGCCGCAAACTTGCTCATCTCCTTGCCCTCCACATAGACCTGCTGGCCGCGGCAGAACCAACGTCGCTCGTACAGCAGCTTGTTGTCCTCGATGCGGGTCTCCACGTAGCCGCTATTGACGGGCGGCTCGGCCAGCAGGCCGTGCATAGACGGCTGCTGCTGTTGGGCGCCACCGTAGGAGCCAATGCCGTTCTGCTGCAGCACATTGGGCCCCAGCGGCTTGCCGCGCTGGATGACCTTGAGGTCCGACTCGATCTCCTTGTCGTCCAACTGGTAGACGAGAAGCTGGCCGGTGGCCGGCTTGCGTCGCTTCTCGATCACCGGCAGCGGTTCGTTGGGACGGCGGCGCAGCTTACGCGTGACCGTCGTCTTGATCTCCATGGAATCGTTGGTCAGCTCCAGGCTGAAGCGCTCGTTCTCGATCTGACGCTTGCGGTCCTCGAAGTCCGAGATCAGGTTGTCCTTGAGGTCCATCATCTTCTCGTCGTACTCCTTCTGGGCGGCCTTCTTCTCCAGCACATAATCCCGCTCGACGCACTCGCGCATGTACTCCTTGTAGATCTCGTTCAGGCGGCGTCGCTCCTTCAGCTGGTTCTCCAGCTTCTTCACGCGCTTTATGTACTCCGGGTGCACCAGTTGGCCCAGTTCCTCCATCTGTTTCTGCAGGTTGAGCAGCTTGTGCTGGTACATCCTGCGGATGAATGGTATTAGAGGTATGAAATGGTGAAGGAGTAAGGACTACTCACTGCTCCTTCAGTTCGCTGTTGGTGCCCAGGCTATTGCTGTTGCTGTTGGAGGTGCCGTTGGTGCCGCCATAGCGGCTGGGACTGCGGAACTCGGTCTCGCTGGCGTCGTCCGTGTCTGCAAGGGATTGGGAGCGCGCAGGATGCGGGCCGTGGCCGTAAATGAAGCCAGGGGCAGGACAGCCGGGTGCTGCGTACTCACCTTCCTCGCTGCGCTCGTCTCCAATCGACTCGTCGTCGTAGTTGTCGCCCGTGTACAGGCTGTAGTAGGCGGACATGGTCGCAGTCTTGGTCTCGGAATCGGGATCAGATCACTTGGATACCCAGTTGTTCGTTGGCAATTGTTTATTTTCTTCGCTCCGATGCCAAATGAATACACACGCACACAACTCGCAAGATTTAGTGTGCCCGTTTTTTGGTCGTAAGACAGGGTTGTCGGACTATGAAAATTATCGATTAGTATCGTATGCTTGGTCAGCGCATATCGATGTTTTTATTTGACAGCCATCAGCTAGAGCGAGATGCCAGTAGTAACTGAAAATTCAAACGCTTTCTCAAATAATTTTAAACAAAAACAAATAGTATCAATATAATGCACTTTTACAGAAATTTGCTGCCTGATTTCATACTTGTAGATTTCATACTTGTAGATATAAGTTTAAAGAGTGCTGGACCATTTCATATTATATTATATTATATTTATTATATTTTATATTGCAGCCATTTTGCAAAAAGTAACTAATTTTGACCATACCCCATATTTTTTTAAACATTGAAGCATATTTTCAGGGAAAACATTTTTGGAAAAGGTCTAGTTTTATACATTCAAGGATACAAATTTTTGAACTTATGGTTTTTCCGATTTTTGGCTGCTTTAGTATTGGAACAAAAACGAAACAAAACTTAAAAAAATAAAATTATATTTTAAAACTTTAATTTCTTTTACCCGTTAAACGTAACAGATTCTTCATTATTTTTTCACTAAAATTGAAAACCATGAACCATATTGCATCAAATCATATTTATGTTTTGGGATATTTAAAATTGATTTTTGTATATCAACTTTGCACTATTAGTTATTGTAATGAAATCAAATCTAAATGACGCATGCTTTAAAGATCAATGATGCCCTATGATATCATCGGATATATTTCAATATCCATAAACGCCAAAAATATGCCGCAGTGCAAAAATGGAAATAAATTACAGCTAAGTGGGAGGAACTTTAATAAACTATTCACGGCTCCTTGAAAGTACATACTTTTTCCGCAACGACAAAAAAGTCAGTTAAACTTGCATGTTTGGATTATTCATCCACTTCTAGTGGCTCAGGTGCTAAACGAATGATTTAAGCTTTGGTTGACTTAATGATTCCAATGATTTAACATGTAATAACAAATTTCAGACAGACTGTCGTTTTTGCACAACAATAACGAGAATTCGAAAGTTTAGTTTGTGTATCTCTACGCCTATAATTAAATATTTACCCGCACACTGCACTCGCAAACATATACTATATATACGTATTTTCATGTACATATATGTGATGGCTTGCTTTTGTTTCAATATTAACAGCACTTGCTTTTCTGGCTGACACATATTTTAATGCTGTCGTCAAGCAGCAGCCAATGCCAATGGACGTGGATGTGGATGTGGATGTGGATGCCGCCCACACGGGACAAGATCGAGATCGCTATTTGCTGCCCGCTATTTGCCCAAGCTGAAAAATTAGTAAACTCTCATCATCAGCCAAAAATTCCATGCTAAATCATCGCAAGCAAATTTTGATTGATTTCTGACTGGGAGGGGAGAGGGTTTTGTTTTTTTTTTTTTTTTTTTTTCTTTTTTTTTTTTGACTTTTGGATAGACGGACTACAAAATGAAGTGGGATGACATACCGGCAAATGACTAGAGCACTCATACATATTCATATATACCCGTGCTCTGGGTTCTGTTTCGTTTCGAATATTCTGGTGACGTGGGGAAAATGTTGATTTCCCAACATCTCGGTGATCCTCAAGAGGTACATTCTTCAGTGGAAGAACACTAAGGCGGACTCTTTTTTTCTTGATGTTTCTTATTTGTTTTACTTACTTGTATCCAAAATATGATAGGGCCTAGGCCTTATATATATTACTTCTAAATTAAACTTAATTTATTTGTTTCAAATCTATGTTTATTATTCAATCTTTTGTAAGGCATTAAAAAATGATTGAGATTGAAAAGGAAATAGGATTGGTGATTGATACTCAAAGAGCTTTAATTATTTTTTTTCCAAGAAAAAATTAAAATAAAATTATACAGATGTTTTCTTTAATTTATATTGTAAGTTTTACAATTTGAAGCAATTGTGATGGGAAGTTATAGTATAGTATGTTCTCCTATTATGCAAAGAGTGTAGATGCAATATGTACAAACTGCACAGAAAGGCGTACTGATATATGTAGATGCGTTGTCTTCCCAATTTTTTTGCGGATTTGCCGACTTGCGGCTTAGTCGAGATTCTGTGGCCTTCAAGGTTGAAATTTTTGATGAAAATGAGTTTATTGTTTGGACAGGGGGCATTAGCAGCCACTACCGTGGCGTCCATGTGGGCGCCGTGAAAAATAAAAACGACAACACCTCATCCGCAGCGCCTGCGTTGATCACCGATGATTGTGATTTTATTTTCGTAATTCATGATTAAATCTAGAATTATTTGGATGGCTCTACTGCCGTTGCCCCCGATGGAATTTGCAACGAAAACGGGCACGATTTTAAAATACAGTTATGGCTGCCCTGACGGAAAACTCGCAATAAAAACTTTTACTGACTTAAACCACATTTTTTTTAATATTTTTTTTTTTGTGGTGAAAACAATTTACCACAGCAATAAATCTTTTTTGCCACAAAATGAACAAATTTGAAAAATATACACAATTTTAAACTCTATACATTTAATGTTAAGCATTTAAGTTGTCCTAAAACATATATCTGCCAGTTGTCCCTGTACTTGCCATTTAACGCCATTATTTATATCAACGGTCATTGTAACCAGGTCCCATTCATTTGCATTCCCGTGGCCGATGACGCTCCGTAAAAGGACTTCTCTACGCTCGGCTCGACTTGACTCCCAATTTCGATTCCGATTCCGATTCCGGTTCAGAATCTCGTTCCCGAGCGCCAATGTCACGCGCCTGAGTCATTTAGTTTTGCATTTGTTTACAAACAAACCGATGAGGAGTGGGTAGTTCGTGGATGTCGATGTACACCCAGAGAATTACTGCCTACAAACATTAAATACGTTTACGTCTTGGTATTAAATGCACAAATAGTGTCATAAATAAAATAAGGGATAGAAAATATTTTAAACTTTGCATTTTTTTATTTTGAAAAAAATTATATATTTTTGTATTAGGTATGTGGTAAAAAAAATGTATTTTCTGTGTGTATCTGCGACGCCAACGTGTCCGCCCACTGTGGCTAATATTTGGACCCATCAACTCTGCACATTGGGCGCCATTCCTTTTTTTTTTGGCATTGAGGTGATGATCCAGCGCCGTAGACAGGATTTGATCAAAATCAGAAAACGTGCATTGCACCTCATGTGAAATATTAGTAATGTACTAGTTCAAAAACAAGAAATATATGTATATAAACTAATTAAAGAATTAAATATTTTTAAAATATTTTTTTAAAAAAAGTAATCTTGATGAACACTTAATGTAATATACATATGTAAATAAACATGCAATAGTTAACCAAACCCGAATAACGTTGCCATATCGTCCAATGTGCACCTCTCTCTTTCAGGGTCCGTTTCCTAAAACGGTAGGAAGCGTTGATCTCGAACCGGTTAACACGCTCGCTTATTCTGCCACTTCCACACCTACTTCCACCGCCACTTTTGCCTCCACCCACCATTCCAATTCCCATTCCCACATCGTCAGTTAACTGTTTGCTCCCAGTTAGCCAAATAGTCTGGGAACATCTAGTTTGCACTTGGATATTGGTTGCAAGCTGCAGTTTACTGACTTTCAACTCATGATTGAGCGTCTCCCACGCCAGATACATATGTGCGAAGTTTTAATTGCCTGCCTTCCCTTGAAACATGAAAAATTAATCATCAATTAATTTGTATATACAGCTCTTAATAATTTTACAATTTTTATTTAGTATTTATAGTCACTTAATTTCAGTCAATTTAACGACTTTAGGGTATGCAACACATTTTGTTATTTACAACCGTTTTTGTTGTTTCCGTTATAAGATAAAAGAGTATGTAAAATATCCTTGTAAAAGTGTAAATGAGAAAGAAGGACATTTGTTCCTAAAAATATAATAAATATTTTTTTCAGATTTTAAAGCTTTTTTTTATTCCGAGTGTAGAAAAGTTTGGTTGGAAGCAAGTGGATATACCTAATTTTAGGGCTAGTAGGGGGGTTGCGTTTCCTGTTTGGTCGGTATGTCCCTGTTTTACGGCACCTTGCCATAAGTAGGGTATCCGGCAAAGCAAAGGTAGAACGAGAACGAGAATACTCCCATTCTTCGCCGTCGCCTCTCCCACTAACAACAACATCCACATCCACATCCACATTGGCCTTTCAGACCTTTGGGCCATTGCCATTGTTGTTGCGCCGAGAGAGCGTTTGGGCCCGCTTACTCTCACGCGCTCTCTTCGCCGCTCTTTACCGCTCTTCGGCTGCGGTTGTGGTGTATAAAAGCGATGACTCCCGGAGAATGCAAAACAGTCGGGAAATCGAAACGCGGCTATCTGTGCGACACGTCCAATTCCAATCCAACCCACACACTCGCAAGGCCTAAATACACATATAGAAACACATCGTATTCCTCATTTTTTTTTTGGTTGCTCCGACGATTAGCAAGTGAACAAGCTCAAAAGCGCGTTGAGCAGAACAGAACCGAAACAGAAACAGAACCGAACAGTATATACGTCAACAGCTGTACAAAAGGCAGCTAAAGACAAGGCAAAAAAGAAGAGATTCGAGACTCCATCTAGCGAAGCAACCACCAAATAACCACCAACCGCACAAAAATGGCCGAGGCTAACAAGAGGAATATCCCCATTAAACTGGGAGACTTCAGCGTCATCGACACGGAGTTCAGCAACATCCGCGAGCGTTTCGACTCCGAGATGCGCAAAATGGAGGAGGAGATGGCCAAGTTCCGCCACGAGCTGATGAACCGCGAGGCCAACTTCTTCGAGTCCACCAGGTGAGGATTACTTTATAAGCGATTCCGATTCCGGCTAACTAAGGTATAAGTGTTTGATTTTGGAAGCCATTGCTATCCAGCGGTTCCCATAGATGCTTAGGGATAGTGTAAAGAAACGTGATTCGCTTGGTTCATCTCATAGTTCTGGGGCTCTAAATATAGAGGCGCACATCTTGCCACATCGCCTACTGGTCTGGAGCACTTACTCACAGACACAACATACACACAAAAAAAACAGAAAACAACGGGCCCGATTTGCGCCCCAGATATATATTTCTTTGCCGTCTCTTTGGGGGAGGATGAGTCACAAGTTCTAAATTCTTCGCCGCGCTGCTGTCTCCGGCCAAAAAACACATGTATCCGCCCGTCACCCGCAAGTAATCCCCCCGATTCTGATTTTTGTTTCCTTTCCGTCCGATCTCGAGTCCCACTCGTTTATGCAACCGTTATGTGAGGCATAACGGAATATTTCGAATTTCAAGAATCACCTGTGCCAAGACATTTAGTTGTGAGTGTGCCTACATAAGCTGAAAAATGTAATATTGTTGGTAATTAGATAAGATATTAAAATCTGTTCTTTCAAAGCAATATTTAGTGGCAGGTGGTCTATTTTGAAAAGAAAAGTATCCAATGAATCCCTAGCTTATGTACCATGTTTTTCAGACACATGTTTTTCAAAATTTCGAACTATTTTTAATCTTAAGACTTCTTACCTGGAAAAAATATGGCAAGCCCTTTTTGCAAAGCTAATCGTTTTATTATTTTTAATTTTTTACTTAAATGTTGTAACTCCTTATAGACAAATCAGCTATTACTGATTAAAGTCATATTTGCAAACTTGAGAGTCAATCAATAAATACATATTTAGAGACACTTTTTTTCCACTTAAATGTTATGTTTGTCGCTTTTCTCTGTGTAGGTTTATTGTCCAAATTAGTGATTAATAAACAAACAATGCTCGAGGCATTTGTATGGCAAATATTACGTCGCCTCTGACGCCGTCGCGATTGCGCGCCTCGTTGGCCTCTCAATCTCAATCAAGTAGCGTTGCGTGGGCGCCAGTTTTGGTTTTGGTTGCTATTGGAACGACCTCGGCCTATGACGTAATCGAACCGATGGAATCGTTGTTGCTTTTACCATGGTCGCCACTGCATTTGCATGGCCACAACAGAAAGCTTTCGCTCCATTCCCGAGGTACGCAACTTAAACCTACTACGGCTCCATCAAAGTTGACGACTCCACCCTGCAATCCTTTTCAACTTTGGTCATTTAAAGCAAAAGTTGGCAATTTAAGGAAATTAACCCAAATTGGTTCCCCAACCAGACACACCTGTGTGTGCTGCAGGTGCTTTCCTGCCTACACAGTGCCAAAGTTTGTTTACATGTTTATGCTCGGAGGTTACAAGTTTGATGAGCCAAATTAGCAACGATCAGTATGGATATGTTGGTTTTCGGTTACCATTCGTTCGGTCATCATATAAAGCCTTAGTTTGTTATGAATGATTTGGTTATCGAGTTAACTCTGTATTGACTAGAGAACTCCCGCTTTAAACTATTGACGAGTGGGGGTGGGGTCACCTTGTTGACCACCTCACAAAGTCCCGACCTCTGACATCTGGGGGCTATGGCGTGTCAGCAATTAATGCGCTGCGTGATATCTGAATGACTCAGCGCAGAGTGAACGCACACCCAGGTCTAGGGTCGTAAATCTATATAGGTAGGTTCCCCTTACCAGAATATAGATTGGATTGAATTGCTTTGGAGGGTTAAACGTATACCCACCCAATTACGTAAAGATGTTTGACTTTATAAGTATAGCAAACAAAGCAACAAACTTGTTATACAATCAGAAACAATTACATATATCTTAAACTAAATTATATCTAAATTAAAAGAATAATTTAACAAATTATTTCCTAAAAGAAAGAGTCTAGAAATAAAATAAAATAATTTAACAAATTCTTTTTTAAAATACCCGCCACTTAGTTCTTAATCGAAATACACATTTATACACATGTGGGTCAGAAATGGTAGCCCTTTTTTGAACTGCATATGTGGCACACAGTTTTTCAATACTAAAGTTAGATTGTTTGTTTTATACTAATGAGACGCTTTAATCTCAATCTCTTAACTTTAAGCGTATCACCTGTCGGCTTTGCCCCATCCCTCCATATGTGCATATGCATTTTAAATAGAAGCGTTTCATTACTTGAAGCTTTGATTTTTTTTAAATTAACATTTTAAATCCCAATATTTTTAAAGTAGAACAATCTTTTAATTGAAAGTGCACTTCTATTTAAACCATGGGGTCTCATATGAACATAGTTATGGCATAACAAAAAGGCTACAAATATGAAATTTGTACAATGCCGCTAAAATCTGTTAGGGCCATTTGTTTATCTAAAATTAAATTGGCATGCAAATGCATTTGTTGACGGCTCGGGGGAAAAGCTTTTATTTAGACTTGGCCAACTGCGCTGTTTCTGTGGCTATAAACCGCACTTTAATGACGGCGCCTCCTCGTTGTTGCCTACGATTCGGTTCCAATTGAAAATAAAATGATACGATTATCTCGGTGATCGCACGATATAGATAAGTATGTATGTATGTACATGCATACAGATAGGAACATACATATGCGTGGAAATTATATTGGCCAGACCCGATGTGGGAGGCAGAGTATTAGCTAGCAAACCCAAGCAATACCATCGATCAGCTAAATTTATAGACTCATTAATCGGCCTTGCGCTCGGGTGTGTGTGCGCACTGTTTAAACAAATAAGTACGCTAGATCATACAATTTATATTTATCATGCAAATAGCGCTGTGCGAAAAGCTTTCTCACATGGTCAGATGGAATGAGCACATTTAGTTGCCTATATTGGTTGCTGGATGCTGATAATTTAAATGAGCATCGGACGATGATATCATGTCAATTTTTAGCTATTGCGCTTTGTCTCGATTGAAAGCGCAATCTAAACCCGGTTCGATGACAAAGCTGCGATCGCCGCCGGTAATCGATATTTTAATTTGAAATTTGCGCTAACACATACGTACGCACATACTCGTTGGCAAACAACAAAAGAGAACAATTTTGTTTGCGCTCGTTCTCATTTCTTTTCTGTTTTTCTTGTATTTGTGTTTATTTTTGTTTCTTCTTTAGTTTCCCTTCGTTTGACTTTTCAATAACGAAAAAATATGCATGACATCATTGTCATCAGATGCCAGAGAGATATAGTCGCACACACACATGTATGGACATGCACACACATGCACATTCGTGCTGGCAAAAAGAGGGACGGAGAGTGAGAGATGGTATATTACAGAGTGGGGGAGTGGGAGTGGAAGAGCAGGTGCCTCGGCCAAAGAAACTTTGCCCAAGCTAACGGTTATTGGTGTTTATCATTAACGTGCTATTGATTTCTCTCTGGCGGGCGATCAACGCCCCTGCACCTCAAACACCGCTCCGCAAGGTCGCCAAATGGCCCACGCACGCTCACGTTTCGGCTTTAGTTGATAAGCTCCCCTGTTTCCACGGAGTGACCGTTGATAGCCGCTTATCAAAGACTCGCGAACACGCACACACAAATTGCTTCACGCTCACAGGTTTAACGGTCAATCAAATCTTTTCAGTTCCGAGACACCTCTACTCACATAACTACACATTTACATTAGGGTGGACCTCTGTAAAGTTAAATTAAATAAACAAATTAAACAAACAAAAATATTTCAAAACATAAAAATGTGGTTGTGAGGTTTAGGCGTAGAGCAATGGCCTTAAAGTTTCAGTAAAGATTACTTATGCGACAGATAAAGCCAGTAAAATTTAGCCGTATCTTCGAAATAAAATAAGGAAGACAAAGAATGTGATATACAAATACAATTTTTTTAGTTGGAATACTAAGTCTAGACTGGGCCATACAAAAAATGGGTATAAGGGGAACCCTGTCTGAAGGCGCAAATCAAAAGATACGAAATCAAAATTATTTATTAGTAAAACGGGTATAAAATGCAATCACAATTTACAATTAGGTTTAAATAAAACATCAAAATCGAAATAAGAATAGGAGCAACACAAACATTTGAACAAAGAACTTCTAAGTGAACGGAATATGGAAAAATATAAATTAATGACCTTAATTGAATATGGCTAACTAGTGTGTATGTTACTGTTTCTTAATACATATATGTACATACATAAGTAGGTAATTTTCAGAGGATGTAAGATTAGATTCATAAGAATATGTCGTTGAGGGTTATATGGTTACTGATTATTACATTTTGCCTAACTAAATATATATATATTTTCCTCTATTTTTCTCTTTTCTCTTTCTTGCCGCTTGGAAAACATTAAACAACCGCAATAATTTCCATATAATAATAATCTCCTCTCCTATCTTAAATCAAAAAGCTCTACTAAAAAAACAACAACTACCAGGTACCAAAACCGTAGAAAGTATACCAACTAAAATTGTATTTTCTGTTTATCCTTTATTTCTTCTTGACTAAACCCTTATTTTTAGTAACTTACTTATTTTAATATATATTTTCTTTGTTTGTAATTTTAATATTACAATCCTGCACATATTCACGAACTTAACACTAAAAAACGATACTCGGTACTCCACAAGTAAGCATTGCAGGTTTAGTTGTATACATATGTACATATGTACATATCTTAATAAATAGGAAGAGCAAATAAAAAGCTGAGCAGCTAATAAAGACAATGAAACTTAACGGAGTATTTATTTAAAATATATTCGGAACATTGGAGACAAATAAATAACTACAGGTTCAACTTAATAGAAAATAAAATAAATATATATTTTTACAACGATCGATTTGTAAAAGGTACCTATTTTTATAATTTTTTTTGTTAAGTTAAATCTGTCTTTGAATGGCAGCTGAGCCAAGTCACGAGTGTGTTATTTTAAGGACCCGTCTAGACATATGCGAGCAGGAGGGTTTATTTATAGTTTTAGGCTGTCTAAGTAAATCGTGTCTTGATCCACGGTCTCTAACTATACATAATATGTTCAAGTAAAGCCTTGAAGATTCCCTAAGGGGTCTATTCATGGCGGATGCCAGAAATAATAGTTCCCTTGTGTCTAGCGCAATCTTTAAAATAGGAAATATAACATATGTACATATATACTGCCTATGAGTTTATCTGTACTGAATGCAGACACACGAATGTAGTTTGAGCTCCAGCTGCTCCCTTCAGATCCGTACATAGCACACCGAAGCGGAAGTCAGATCTATTATTAGATGGTTCTCGATCATCAAGTCTTCATTTGAGTTGAGTTCGCCAGCGGGATTCAGTTACATCCTAGAGCAGCATCAGAATGGAGGCTTTCACGCGCACATTGCATAAAACCTTTCGTAGCACTAGAACCACGACTACTACTACTACCACCAAATCCTCCACAAGGTTCCCACACGCAACCCTAACACTTTTGATTTAAATTTAAATCTTACTGTTTTAATTTGATGACTTTTCAGTTTTAACATTGCCAAAATTATTTTGTTGCAGCTCAACGACAAACTCGGCTCTGCCATCCCGAATCCCAAAGCAACAGAACTATGTCTCCGACATTAGCTCACCCTTGATACAGGTATGTAACGCGGTTATAACTTCATATATCAATTTAAGCATAATCAACATGTAATTGTTATAATTGCAGGATGAGGGCGACAACAAAGTGCTGAAGCTGCGCTTCGATGTCAGCCAATATGCCCCCGAGGAAATTGTGGTGAAAACCGTTGACCAGAAGCTATTGGTAAGTTCCCTTTCACACGTGCCCTGCCAGAATCGTACTAACATAGATCTATTATTTTGGACTTAGGTGCACGCCAAGCATGAGGAAAAGTCGGACACAAAGAGCGTGTACAGGGAGTACAACCGGGAGTTCCTGCTGCCCAAGGGCGTCAATCCCGAGTCCATCCGCTCGTCCCTCAGCAAGGACGGAGTCCTGACCGTGGACGCCCCCCTGCCAGCACTCACCGCCGGCGAGACACTGATTCCCATTGCGCATAAGTGAAGTCCTCAGCCCCAGTCCCAGTCCCAGACCCAATCCCGATCCAAAATCAATCACCAGTACCGCTTTGCGGAGGAGAAGGAGGAGGAAGAGGAGGAGGAGGCTACCGCAAATCAGATTAAATCATACACACACATTGAGTTTAATCCAATCCTATCTAAATGATTAATTTTTTTTGGTTCTGACTTAAAGCTAAACTATGTTACTGACTTACTACTCATTAACTTAAATATAATTCAAATTATTATTAAATTTGATTAATTTAATTCATATTTATAATTTTCGCATTAAACGTAATCAATTTTGTCGTAGTTATCCCCGCATTCGTTTTCCTTTCCTCCCATCAAAAATAAATCAATATTTATCCAACTGAGTGGTTTCAACCAGTTAGTGGTGGATTTTTAACTGGATTTTCTATGTGAATTTAATAAATCGGAAGCAAAAATGGGTTGCCTTTGTTCTTTCCAAGGAATAAAAGTTCTTAGAGGTTTTTGACTATATAAAGTATGTATATTCTTCCCTTATTTCGGAGTTGGCTTATGGAAATACTTTCGAATTTGTAGTTAAATAAACTTTATTCAATAAAGTACAAAATGTGCTAAGTACAATTATTCTTAAAGTAAGTATTATTTTGTGTCAATTTTTGAGACCATCAAGCCTGTTTTTACGCTGTAAATCGATTTTAGTTAAACTATTCTATTATATTATGCCGTATTTCCTGAGTGTTGGATTTTTTACACTTTAAAAAGGGGCCGTCCCAGTGAACAGGTCGTCTGAGTTTGGCGTTCACGTTCGTTTCGAAAAAAATCCCTTGCTCAGAGATATTGTGTGCAACACGAACTTACCAAATTGTAGGCGCCGCCCAGGGATGTCTTCCCCGAAGACCGGAGGTCCAGTCTTTCTGCAATCAGTGCACTTGTGACTGTCCGCCGGGGATTGGCAAAACTTATTCCTAAGTTAGTAAAGCGAATTTATTGAAATAAAGATGCCTGTGGAGTTGGAGTCTCAGAATGCAAATGGTGGCGATGGCGAGGAGGAGGAAGGTCGATTGGAGTACAAAGAGGTGGATCCGCTGCGGCTATCAACATTGATCCTGAAGGCTGATCCGCGGTACCGCATCAAGCCAATGCAGCAGGTGGTGTCCGCACTCATTGGCGGCCTCATTACGACGTTTGTGGGTGAGTAGATGGATAGTCGTTCCAGGTCGTAGCTCCAAGGTCTAACCCGTAACCCATAACCCATGACCTGTTAAGTGACCCCCTTGGAAGTGGTGAAAACGCGGGTGCAGACCCAGCATGCGGTTCGCCAGCGACCGACTACCTCGAAGCTCTGCTACGTCTTCCACAACGGTCTGATGACGCATGTGTGCCGCTCCAGCGACATCTGCATTCCGAAACCGGGTCGGGACCCCCGCGACCTTCGACCCCTGCGCGGTGCCATGGTGAGTCCGTGCTTTCCACGCCCAAATATGTCTAATAGCAGTGGAATGTCGTAGAAAATGTAAAAAGTTGACTAGTGAAATAATTCAATTTGTGGCTTTTCGCCATGACTTTTAATCTAACTATTCCCATAACTTTTTGAAATTTTTTTTTTAAATATAACAAAAAAAAATATTATTTGAATCACTTATTTTGAAACCACATAAGTTTTATTTTGATACTCATACTTGTAATATTTATTATATTGAGAAATTTTTCGTACCAAATAGCTTAAAATGAATGTAATAATAGTTTAGTTTCTATGACAATTTTATATGGGTGTTCCCACCAAGATTCAGTGCAAGTCATTCATATCTATTTTTGTAAGCAGGACGCGTTTGTCAAGATTGTCTGCAGCAGTGGACTGAGCGGCTTGTGGGCAGGTCTCAGTCCAACGTTAGTTTCGGCGCTGCCCTCCACGATTATCTACTTTTTAACGTACGAGTATATAAAGAATTACCTGTCCCACATCTACATGGTGTCGGGCAAGCTCGATGAATCCGGCGCGGAGGACCAAGTGCCCGGAGCCTATGGTGGTGATCCCCTGGACCTGGCCACCAGGGGGCGGAATGTTAGCGCCACTGCTCAGGCTCCGGCCGCTGTGCCACTGCCCTACTACGTGCCCATGGCCTCGGGCATCTGCTCCCGCACCATCGTTGTGACGGCCATTACGCCCATCGAAATGGTGCGCATCAAGATGCAGTCGGAGTACATGACCTACTCGGAGCTGTGGCGCGTGCTGCGTTCGTTGGTACGCCAGCACGGGTTTCTGGGTCTGTGGCGGGGCTGGCCGCCCACCGTGATGCGGGACGCCCCCTTTTCGGGCACCTACTGGGCAGCCTACGAGGCGATGAAGCGGGCCTTCGGTGTCTCGGAGCCCACCTTCCTCTTTAGCTTCTTCACGGGCGCCGTTTCCGGAGCGGTGGGTGAGCAGTGCGCTTCCGCACACAGAAATAGATACAAAATAACAAACTAATTTGAGGTATTGTAATTTCACTCAAAAGTTTTGAATCAGTCATAATATTATTATTAAATTATTTATTTTTCATGATCAGCACCAGGTAGTCTGCTTTTAACCAGATTGCTATCTGTACCTTTGCTAATATCATAGACTCATAAAAAAAATGTACCAAGTCCAAGAATTGTATTTTTAATTTAAGTATTTTAACTTTTACATATGTAGTACTTTAAATATGCAAACATTAAATATTTTACAATTTCAAATTTGACTAATTTCGAAATATTACAAATATTTTAAATATTTGCTTTAAATTTATGCCATTTTAAGCTGAAATATTATGCATAATATAAATATTTTCGTTAACACAAATCTTCCAATTTAATATGCAAACAAAATTCATGCATTACTTACTGTTCGGTAGTAGAGAGAATATGGAAATCCCTGACTTCTGCTGATTCTAAAAGATTACTTTTGATTAAAACTACAATACCCTCTACTATTAATTATGTCTCTAAGCCTAATCTGCGACCCTGGCGAGAGTAACCGAGTTTTGTATCCGTGTCCCTACAGATGGCCACCTTTGTGACAATGCCCTTTGACCTGATCACCACCCACACGCAGATGGAGCTAGGTCAGGATGTGCTCTACGAGGAGATGGGAGCAAGACCAGGATCAGGAGCGCCAGTAGAAACAGGTGGACGATCTGGATCGGGTTTGGTATCGGGCCTAGGATCCAAAGACAGGCAGCGGAACCCGCCTGTTGGGCCCCCCAAGCCATCTATGTTTTCCCGGTTGAACCACATCTACCGGCAGCGGGGATTACGGGGCCTCTACGTCGGCGTTTTGCCGCGCATGCTCCGTGTGGTTCCCGCCTGTGCCATCATGATCTCCACCTTCGAGTACAGCAAGTCGTTCTTCTTCCACTACAACCTGGATCTCCAGGAAGCGGGTAGGTAAAACGGAAAGGGGGCCAAAGCCGGCTTGGGCACTTTTTTAAGAAACCAGTCTCCAGGATGCAGATGCACCCATGATAAAACTTTTCATTTTTCTTTGAAAGGTTGCAACCAAATTTTGATTTTTAATTAAATTTAAATTAACTAACAAAACTAAGTCTAGTATACAATTCTAAACCTAGTAAATTGCTTATTGTATTTTAAATATATGTTGGTTGGTATAGATATTGTCTGGAAAATCATAAACGCTAAAAAAACACAAATATTTTTTTTAAAAGCCTCAGATTTTTAACGTTTGCAACTCATAATTTCAAAAGTAAGATAACTGATGTTTTTTCTTAACGATTCAATTTGAATTCAAATTGTTTTCCAAACTACATAAGTTTCTAAAGCCTGGTTTCAAAATTCAAAAGTGCGGGGGGTTCCCTCAATATGCCAGATTTTCGATAGGCCCGCGATAGCAGTTCCGTTCCGATAACACTATCGATAGACGCGAGCGGCAACAGCTGATCGGCTGGCCAGGAATGGGACAAAACCGAGCACGGTGTTTTATTTTGGACCTGGAGACTATTTCACAATGATCGATCGGCTTGCCTAACAGCCTGGCATTCGCATTCGACAACAATCCAGATATAAGCACTCGATTCATCTTATTGCCCAATCCCCGCCAGCTTACCGGGGCTCCCAGTGAAGTCACTAGCGAGAGAGCAACTGCACCTGCAATGGCCAAGAGGGAATGGGAATCCTGCGCCCACTTGGCGGCCGCCTGTGCCGCAGTGGCGGCCACTCCCAGCCAGAGCCAGTCGAAGGCCACTATGACAGACCCCCGGTTCCGGATCCGACCTCTTCAGCAAGTGGCATCCGCCTGCACCGGCGCCATGGTGACCGCCTGCTTCAGTAAGTGACCCAAAAAAACAGGTCGGGATTGGTTTCAATACATTGTCTTTTGCAGTGACCCCTCTGGATGTGATCAAGACGCGGCTGCAGGCCCAACAGCAGGCGCTGCTCTCGAAGAAGTGCTTCCTCTACTGCAACGGCCTCATGGATCACATCTGCCCCTGCGGTCCGGACACACCCAACCCAGCAGTGGCCAAGCCGGCACCCCGCTTTTCTGGCACAATTGTGGGTAGTGTTATTAGTATTACGAGGATCTGAATCTAACCAAATGTCTTTACAGGACGCTTTCATCAAGATAAGCCGCGCCGAGGGCGTCGGCTCCCTGTGGTCGGGGCTCAGCCCAACACTAATCTCGGCCCTGCCCTCGACCATCATCTACTTTGTGGCTTACGAGCAGTTCAAGGCCCGCTTCACCGACCTCCACTACAAGTACATGCAACGCCCGGACAGCAGCGCCAACGGGCGCGACATTCCACTTCCGATTCCATTTCTGGTGCCGCTGCTGGCTGGCGTTTCGGCTCGCATCCTGGCCGTCACCTGTGTGAGTCCCGTCGAGCTGATCCGCACCAAGATGCAGTCGCAGCGCATGACGCACGCCGAGATGTTCGGCACCATTCGCCAGGTGGTGCAGTCGCAGGGCATCCTGGGCCTTTGGCGCGGCCTGCCGCCCACAATCCTGCGCGACGTGCCCTTCTCGGGCATCTACTGGACCTGCTACGAGTACCTGAAGAGCTCCTTCGGCGTTGTGGAGCCAACGTTTAGCTTTAGCTTTGCTGCGGGAGCAATATCCGGATCGGTGAGTTGGCCTCAACTCCTCCAAGTTGTTAGCCCCGCTAGTTACATGATCGATTATTACAGGTGGCTGCCATGATCACCACGCCCTTCGACGTGGTGAAAACGCACGAGCAGATCGAATTTGGCGAGAAGTTCATATTCTCAGGTAGGCCCAACCATCAGGTTCACACACCATGCACCAGCAGCATTGACAATGGTTCGGTTTGCATTACGGCAGATAATCCCCAGCCCACCGGCAAGCAAGTGGTCACCAAGTCGGTGGCGGTGCGCCTGGCCAGCATTTACCGCCTGGGCGGAGTGCCCGCCATTTTCTCTGGACTGGGCCCCCGACTCTTCAAGGTGGCACCCGCGTGTGCGATCATGATTTCGTCCTTTGAGTACGGCAAGTCCTTCTTCTATCACTACAACATCGACCAGCACAACCGAAGCATCCAGGCGTCCGCAGCGTGAGATCGTGGCATCGGTCACTCCAAATTCGACTACTACAGTGAATCTGTGTAAATATGTACAACTATTGCCTCAGTTTCCAGGAAATCGGTGGGCAGGCAACCTTCCTCTTCTGCTGGCTTTGGCGAGCCCTTTCGAAATTGTTAAATTGTAGTGCAAATAAAATTCTTGTTTTTTCTAGTTTAAAAACAACAACAACAAGCTGGCTGGCCGTTCCCACCCAAAATTCCTTTGCGCTCCTAGCTAGTCGTAATGTTTTAACTAGAAAACCAAACCAGAAAATGAACTATAACTTTGTACATGTACAGATATGAGAGCGCACAAAGGGCCAATTGTTTGTTACAAATATAATTTTCTTTCAACTCCTTATAGAAATAGAAATTATACTTTAAAACATTAAATAAAATATGTGAGTTGCTTTATAACAATAATTGGTACTTTTCAACTGATCTTTGGTTCAAGGTTTTAACATGTTCTTGCGTTGAACTAAAATTTTTTATTTAATTAGTCGATCCTATGGTTCCTTGGTATGCTGCAGAATATCTTACGATCCCTGAGATTTTTAAACTTTATCTCAATACACATGAAACAAGATTAAAATTACAGTTTCATGTAAACAACTTTTAAACTTGGAGGTCAGTAAGAAAGATTAGATAAGGTGTATATGTTAAAACTTATTATCGATCAAGAGCGAAGGTAATTGCACCAGTGACAGTTAAATTAAAACTCGAAATTAATTTAACATTAAGATAACTGTGATTTATGATTTTTAAACTTCAAAGTCAACACAATTTTTACTCTTGCTTTTAGAGTATATATGAATCAAATATATATTTGTCTACAAATTTCATATAAATCGGCCAAATTGGTATATAAAATATTAAAGTCTCAAATAACTCTTAATAATGGTTCCTTATTTATAAGCCATACTCATTTAATATTTTTGAAATGGCGCCTAATAAGTTAGTGATCGAAAGCAACCCTTCGATTTCCGATTACTTTGCCAAACATATGTTGAGGGCTATCGATAGGCGACCAGGCAACACGTGCATTTTTTGTTTTGTATTTGTGTTTGGATTTTATTTTGACCTAGAAGATTTGTCCGACAAAATGAGTGAAGCCGCAACTGAAACTGCCACGCCCAAGACGCCGGCGAAGGCCAAGAAGGCGGCAAAGCCGGAGGCCAGCATTCCACGTGGTCAACCGAAGTCCAACCGGCCGTGGAAGACGCCGAAACAAAAGTGAGTGCCCCAGCTACTTGCCACCTTGTCCGGCGGCTAACAAGCTCTATTCCCTTGCAGATTCAGCCAGATCAAGAAGACCGTGAACCGGTTGACCTTCGCCAAGAAGGAGGCCCTGCGCGGGGAGCTGCGCTACATCAAGGAGCGCTCGAAGGAGATCAAGGATAAGCGCAAGGAGGATGCCGTCCAGAAGCACCAACGCCGCGTGGAGAACGCTGAGCGGCGGCTGGCCAACGAGCGCCGCTCGGAGGTCGTCCAGGTCATCAAGAATCCCGCCAAGCTGAAGCGCATGAAGAAGAAGCAGATGCGCATGATCCAGAAGCGGGACACCAGCCAGGTGAAGGTGGTCTGAGATGAGAGATGGTTCCCCCTAACTTAACTTGTATTTTTTTGCTAATAAATCTAGTTTTAATTCAGTAACATATATCTGTGTATTAACGGTCGCAATGCAAAAGTGTGGACTACAAACGAATTTAGCTTATCTTAGCCTAGTTTAACAAATTTACATAGTAATCCAAGGCCTTGCCGCCGTTCTCAGTCCGAAATTTTGTCAATATATCCTTTCGCCTGTTGTTTAATGTCCTGCCTGCTAAACGTTTCTGCTGCTCATCAGTTAGTCCTTGGATTAATGCACCGATGCGTGTCCGCAGCAACAAATCCAGGCTGTGGACCTGGGATTGATCCTGCGGGTGTGTATTTGCTGGCGATGGTGTCTTCGTTGCGGGCATGTCAAGCAGGGAACTTATGAAAGCTAGTACAGCAGGTAATTCCGCATCCTGGTCTTTAAGGGTAAAGCTATTACGCTCCCAGGCTTCCGCGCCCGGTGTCTCCAGCCGCTCGTTCATCTGGCGCACCACATCCTCCGGCACGCGGCTAGCATCGCTCCTTGTCGAGTTTGCCCGCAGGCAGGAGTCCAGCGAGGTGGCCATGTGTATCTGCCCGTAGACGCAGCCCACATTGCGGCACAGCTGCTGAAGCTTGTGGCGCATACTGCGGTAGTAAAAGTTATCGTCGCACAGGATGAGATGGCTCCTGCTGCTACTGCGATCGTCGCTGGAGCTGGTGCGTTGGATTTGCGGCGGCCAATCGGTGTCTTCTTGAATGGCCGAAATTAGTTTTTCTATAATATTAAAGATGTGCTCACGCTGCTCCCTGTAGTTCGGCTGCCCCAAGGACCGGACATCGAGGAAGTCGTCGAAGCACAGGTGAACGATGTGGCAGACGCGGAGGGCAGCCCGCTGGGCCAGCAGCCAGGTGCACAGAGAGGTCTTGCCCGCTCCCGGTAGGCCGACCAGCGCAACTAGGCAAATGCAACGCATCGTGTGAGGTTGATTGGTTGGTGTTGTTGGGTGTTTCTTGTGGTCTGGAGGCGACTGCTGACTGTGTGTGTGTGGGAGGGCGGGTGGACACCGCGATTAGCTATCTAGGATCGAGAACAGCAGCTGCGGCGTGGCATACCACCCCGAGTTCTGCTGCTACATCGACAGGTTGCCGGTGACGCCCGGCTGGACTGGAGTAAGTATGGTCGTGGCCGCCGCCTCCTTCAGTCGCTGCTCCTGCTCCTTCTCCTGTTCCTTCTGCTGCTGCTGCTGCTGGGCCTTGCGGGCGTTCTCCTCCACCTCCTCCATGCGCTTGGCGTTAATCGTGGTCTGCACATCCACGTACACCTTCATCATATTCTGATTGAAGCGGGCAAACTTGGTGACACACCTGTCCACGCAGATGTCCTGAGGGGAGAGGTGTTTAGTTAATGATGTCTTCCAGAGACCCCAACTCCAATACCCACCTCATGGCCGCCCAGGTCGCGCTGGCTGAGATTATCCACGCATCGGCTGAAACACAATTCCGTCACTTTGTTGTATAATGTGAGAAAGTCCTTGAGCTGTAATTCATATAGGTAAGAACGGATTTCCGAATCCCCCCAAGTTTACGCTTACATTACGCAAGTTGGAATCCATCGGTCGACCAGGACTTGCGTCTAGATTGTGTTTTAATACAGCAATTATACAATTTAATTTTACAAGCCGTCACGTTCGTGACGAGAAGAACAGCTGATTTCCATTCAGTTTAAACTATCGATAGCAATGTGTAGTCGATTATAAGGTTTCCCACGTCTGTTATCGATTTCAAAATTTAATAACGAATCACGAGGGGAGACAACTTCACCAGGAAGCGGCTCATTTCAATTTATTCTGTTTTATGTTACCTAATCTTGCCTTTATTAACTCTTGATCTTTTAGTCTTAAGAAAAATTATGTTCTATTTAATAAAGTAATATATTTTATATATATATATATATATATATATATATATATATATACAATGCTAACTAATAGTTAAAACTAGGAGTTAACAAAAATTGTGGTTAGAGCTATAGCTGCAAAAGGCCTTCAGCTCTGAGGCTGGTTTAGTATTTTATACTAGCATTATTTAATTATTTATTTTATATTATAATTCTACTTATGGTTTTATATATATATATACATTTTCTGATGAACTTATATACCTTAGGAATAGTTTATATTGTGTAGATTATATTTGATTTTTCTAAGAAAGTGAGGATCATTAGGGAATTAACTTTGGTGGGATTGGCTAAGGCCTGGGTTGGGTTTAGATTGGGGAATGATGAGGATCGTTGTGTCGAGAGAGAAGGGCAAAGGGAAAGGATATGGTTAACGTCTAGAAGAGCGTTGTTGCACAGTGGGCATGTGTTCGGTATTGAACGGTCAATATAGTGTGCGTTTGTCATCTTTGTGTGGCCAAGTCGCAAGCGGGTGATTACGATTTGTTGTCTCCTATTAAGTTCGGGGAAGTTATGGGGGAAGTTAGGTGGTGATAATTTAGATATGTATTGGTACCATGTCGAGGTTTTGTTTAATAATTCTGTGTGTCTGTGTTTTAATGATTTTTTGAGGTTCTGTGTGATGTCTCTGGAGTTGTAATTGTCTGTGTATATGAGGGGTTGTCTGATTGCTTTTTTTGCTTCAGAGTCCGCTGTTTCGTTTCCTTTGATGCCAACATGGCTTGGTATCCATATTAATGTTATTTTGGGAAAGTGTTTGGAAAGTAGGTTACGGATAGTGGTGGGGTAGTAGGAATTGTTGTTAGGGTTTGCGATGGAGGTGATGGAGGAAAGTGAGTCTGAACATATGGCGTACTTGCCTCTTTTTTTAATACAGATTTGTGCAGCTTTGTAGATGGCTATTATTTCGCTGGAAAGGACTGTAGAATAGGCAGGTAGTAGGCCTGTTTTAATTACATTATTTTCATCGGTAACACTATACGCGATGTTGTCTTCTGCCTTCGATCCATCGGTGTAAATAAAGTTGTGGTTCGGGTATGTGGATTTTAGGGACTGGAAGAGTTGTTGAAAGACTATTGGGGGGGTGGAGTTTTTGTTTTGTTTGGTTAGTTCGGTGTTGATCGACTTTTGTATTGCAACTAGGTCAAAATTTTTGCAGGTGTTCTTTTTTATTGGGTGGAATGGGATGTTTTGGTTTTTGCAGATTTGGATTGTTCTATCTATTGTGCTAGGGTATCTGTGTTTCTTTTTATTTGTTTTTAAAAGTTTGATAAGTGGGGTATCTTTGGAGTGTAATAGATTTTTAAAGAGGTTGCCGGTAAGGAAGTCTCGTTTGTGCTCTATAGTATTAACGTTGGCTTCTATTAGTAAGTTATGTGTGGGTGTGGATCGGAATGCTCCAAGTGCTGCTCTTATTGCAGCGTTTAATGGAGTTCTTAGTTTATTTAGATGGGACTTAGGTGAGTACCCATAAATGGGTAAACAGTAGTCAATTTTTGAAACTATTAAAGATTTTAGAACTTGAATTAGTGTTGTGGTGTTGGTGTTGTATCTCATTGAGGAGAGGTGTTTGACTATTCCGAGAGGTTTAGCAAGGTCGGCTTTAAGTTTGATTATGTGGGATGACCAATCGTATCTGCTGTTTATGGTAAGGCCTAAGATTTTAAGAGTTTGAGTGGTTTTAATGGGTGTGTTTCCTGTGAGCAGTTTTGCTTTGCAGTTGTGTTTTCGGCAGATGTGGAGTGTCTGGCACTTGTCCTTTGACAGGACTGAGCCCGAGAGCGTGCACCATTCATTTATTTCTTTAAAGACTGATTCGAGATTGGTTGTGGGGTTTTTAAGTTTGTTATGTTCGATGAGGAAGTGGAAATCGTCTGCGTAAGCGCAGAATTTTACTTCTTTGTGAATGGAAATTATTGTAGTAAGGGAGTTGTAAGCAATAAGGAATATAATGACAGAAATTGGAGATCCTTGCGGGATTCCATTGTTGAGGGGGAAAGATTTAGAGAGGTTGTTGGATGACTTTACAGTTATTTTACGGTTTGTCATAAAGTTTTTGACGTAGTTAATGATATGATGACCCAGTTTCCATTCGAGGAGTTGGTTAATAACAGTGTGTATGCCAATTTTGTCGAAGGCCTTGGTAAAGTCTAAAGATATTATTGAGAGGTGCTTTTTGAGGGAAATAGATCTGGAAGCTAAGTGGTCTATGTAGAGTAGACTGTCTAGTACAGATTTACCTCTTTTGAAACCGAATTGGTTGCTGTGAATGAGGTCGTTGTTTAAAACGAACCACCACAGCCTTTTAGCAACTATTTTGTCTAGTACTTTGGCTAGACATGAGTTTAAGGATATCGGTCTATATGATTTTATGTCTGTTTGGGTTTTTGAGGGCTTAAGGATAGGTAAGCCTAAGCTGAGTTTGAAAGATTGAGGAATATGGGATTTGTTGTTGAAGTTGTTAATAATTCTGTGTTTAAAGGTGTCAGGAAGGTTTTTAATCATAGAGTATGATATGCGGTCTAGGCCTGGAGTGTTGCCTTTTAGGGAGTTAAGGGCTGATGAAAATTCAATGAATGTGATGTCTTTCTCGATTTCGATTGCTGTTTTAGAGGGAAAGTAGTCTAAGTTTGTGTTTAGACTGTACTTGCTTTGTCGGAAAGATGAGGAAAAGTTGTAATCTTCTGCTTCTTCTGACCAAGATTGTCCGATAAAGTTCGCTATTTCTGTTTGGTCCGTTATAGCTGACTGGGTTATTGGGTTATATAAGGAGTGAATGGTTTTTGTGGGGTATAAGCCGCACAGGCGTTTAATATTTGCCCATGTTTTAGATGGGTCTGAGTTGTGATGGATGTCGTCGTATGTATTAATTTTCCTTTTGTTTTGGGGCTGAATCTTAACAGAGGGAGTTGGCGTGTTGTTGGCTATCTGTGCTGATGTTGGTTTGCATGAGTGTTGTATTATATTGGAGTATGATGTTGACTGATGTGTGTGGCGTTGGTGGTACAAATTCTTTGCCGTTTTGTAGTCAACTTTTTCGATGGTTTTAATGGCAACGATTTCCTTTTGTTTTATGAATGTTGGGCAGGCTTTGTCGAGGGGGGTGTGGTTGTTTTTAATGTCTGGAATGTTTTTGCAGTTTAGGCAGTATTCAGGATTGGTGCAGTTGTTATCATCTGTAGGGTGGTGTTCTGAGCATTTGTTGCATAGTTTTGGGCTTTTGCAGAACTTTGTGGGATGTCCAAATCTGTGGCAGTTGCGGCATTTAAGGGGGCGAGGAATATGAGGACGAACGTTAACGCGTTCATATCCTATCATAATTGTTTGTGGTAAGGTTGTAGTTCCGAACGTAAGGATAATGAGTCCGGTTTCTTGTAGAGTTTTGTCTTTGAATTGGTATATTTTTTCGACTTCTGTTACTTTTTGAGATATGAGTTCTTTTAATATTTCGTCTTTTCCAATGGATCGAAGATCATTGGAGTATATGACGCCTTTGGAAGAGTTCAGTGTTTGGTGTTCAGATGCAGTGACTGAGAAGTCGTGGAATTGAGTGAGTTTCAGAAGTCTAAGAGCTTGGACAAGACCTTTGGTTTTTACTAACAGGTTTCCATCTCTAGTTTTTTTAACTTAGTCCACTACGCCGTTGCATTGATAATCAATAACTTTTTTTATTATAAAAGGGTTGACGTCTTCAAAAGATTTTTTGTCGTTTCTTGTAATGAGAATGTATTTTGGTTCCAAAAATGTTGATTTGTCCCATTGTGTTTGGTCATGTAAGTCCGGTGGTCGCGACATCGTATGATTTTTGGGCTGCCGCCCGCTGCACTTGCGTTTGTAACTGTTCGGTTTGGTTTTTGTTGTTGTATTTTCTAATTATGTTTTATGCTTTTATTTGTTTTTCAAAGAGTGTTGTTTTTGTGTTAGTTGGGTTCGGCGATGGTTTGGCAGTAATACGTCTTTCTTCGACGAAGTCAGAACTGATACTTTTTTTTTTTTTTTTTTTTTTTTATATAAATATTGCTATTTTTTTAAAGCTGAAACAAATTCATTTATTACTAAATAAACTTGAAATAAAGATTGAAATATACTCTTTAAGTTATATTTTAACAATGTTCTTTAAAAACAAGCCAAAAACATTAATATAGCTTTGAAGCTATTCAATTATTTTTTTAATGAAAGTATAACTATTAGATGATCGCTTATGGTAAATTACCATTTTTTATAGTAACACTCCAGTTACAATAGTACCAGTTTCACCAAAATTATAATAGTTAAATCAGAATGATTTCTGAATTATAGTTTATGTATATTTATGTTTTTGGGTACTTATTTTCAGTGCGAAAACATTACTAAAAAATTAAATGTGCGGACCTATGTGGCCAGTGGATTGGGGCCATCGGGATTGGTGCCATCGGCCGTGGCTGGTCGACTCTCGCAGCTGTCCTCGCCACTGCTCGTCGTGGAGGCGCCTTCCTCCGGCGAGGTCTTCACCGCTTCGTCCGCCTCCTGCTGCGCATCCGCCAGTCCGGCGTCCGCCTTGCCGCTCTCCTCGGGATCGCCACCCTTTTTGTTCTGAAATGGAAACAGAATACGAACTTTGATAATCATCCTGTATCAATACATTAATCTAGCTTAAGATTTAAAACCAAAAACTAACTAGTAATTGACAGCATACGCATACCCTATAACATATTTTGAGATATACATATATGATTATTATTTTAATGATTTTAAAAATAATATTGAAGTAGTGATTATAGATGAAGTTATTGTTTTAATAAAACTCATAATCATTACGGTCTCTGATTATGTATTATATAATACAATAACATTGATTGGATTCCCAAAATGTTTAAATATGGGTGTTACCAAAAATGGGGTGAGATAGGTTTAGTTGCTCACCTTCTTGCGCTTCTTGGGCTTCTCGGCCTTGACGGCGTGCAGCTCCTCCTCCTCCTGCAAGGCGGACTTGTAGTTGACGGGGAAGAACTGGGAGGCCTCCTTGTGGCCCACCACCGAGTTGGTGCTGACGTAGCTGGGACCGTAGGCCATCAGAGTGGGGATGGTGGGACTGCTGACCTTGTTCACCTTGAGCACGATCTTGTCGGTGCTGTGTGATATAGTGCAAATGATATAGATTTAGATGTAGATATAGATATGGAGCATTCACTGTACTCACGGCACATATGACCTGGCATTGTACTTATCCACCGAATTGGCTAAGAAGGTGGCCGTCAGTGGATTCTCACCGCTGAAGAAGCCGTAGAGTGGAATGTCCTCGCGACAGGTCTCCAAAAGGATGGCCAGGTCCTTCTTCTTGTAGGCGTCGAAGATCATCACGATGTGCGGAGGCTCTGGCACGGGATCCGGCGGCAGAAAGGTCGTGGTCTGGGCCCGAAAGTAGGTGTAGATGAGGGCGGCATGGGTGCGCTGGTCAATGGGCACCCAGATTGGGGGTATTCGGATGATCTTGGTCTTCTTCTGCTCGGCCTTTGGAACAGGAACAGGAACTGGAACTGAACATGCTTCCGCCTCCGTATCCACTTCCTCGTCTTCCCCAAGCAGCTTTGCGCTCTGATCCTCCAGCTCCTCTTCCGATGGCTCTAACCCAAGGAAGGCAACCCAATAACAATTAACAATTTGGAGCCAGGGACATAACACATTACGCTTTTTGTTTAAAAAATCTCAAAATAATTATTATTAATTAATAAATTATTAATAATATATTATATTAATATTATTTGCTTTGATTAAAACATTTTTGAGAAATTATACCACGAAAGTATTAAAATAAAACTTATGTATGTGGATTGAAAACAAGGCCTTATACTACAGTTTTAGACACTGCGGTATAACAATTAAGCCAAACAAAAATTGGGTTATATTATTTTGTCTTGAATTAATACTAACTTTAGTTTGTTTTCAAGACACAAATAATAAGACTAAGCTTTCAGTTTTTTTTTTGGGTGTACACGTTATACATGTTGATATTTTAAGTACCTTACCAATTTAAGATAAGAAAAACAAAAATTAAAAAAATGAGAGAACGCTAAATTTCAGTTTCCCGACTATTAGATACCCGTTACTCAGCAAACAAAATTCGAACTAAAGTTTAGGAGGCGTCATCTGCCGAACTGCATAGCCAACACTAGAAGCTATGAGCGTGCAGCGATGACCAGCAGAGCAGCGGCCGAGCAGCGGCAGAGGACTCTATAATCTATAACTTCTAAAATATTAGCTCGATTTTGAATGAGTCGATAGTTATTGAGCGAATAAACATAGATATGTATAAAGCTTAATAACAGACCTCTTCTATGTCTCAAACAGACTTCCCGATTTGTGGGCTTTAGAGTGGGCGTGTCCACATTTTTTTTAATGGGTTTCATTTTATTTACTTGGGTTAGTATATATGTAAATAATATACTAAAAACGCTTTTGAAGGCGATAGAAGCGAGAAATGTGTCTATCGTAAAGATATATTTGTAATATATTTTTACATTCAATACATTTAATTAAATAGATGCGATGGCATTTAGAATCCAGGATCGAAACGAAGGCACACTTGCATAGATTGAAAAACCAATGCAATATGGCAAAACTCCTGAGACGACACCCACAAGTTCTTGATTAACAACCAATGGTCCACCAGAGTCCCCAAAACACGCCGATTGCCCAAAAGTTCCGGCGCAAATATTATTCTCGGACATAGTAACAAATATACTGCAATAGTTCCAATTTCGTATATGATTGTGTACGGCTTGAAGATTTATAGGATATGATAACACCGGATAGCCATTACGTGAAGGTAATACTGATGTTGCTCCCCAGCCGGAAACCATTGCAACTGTTCCAGGAGCAGGATTCCTCTCGGCCAAAGGGATACTCTGTACTTTGCTGGTGAACTTAAGTGGTTTACTCAATCTCATGACAGCAATGTCGTTGAAAACATTTGTTTTGAAGTCAAAATTCTCGTGAGACCTTATGGCGGCCACTTTTACAAGGGTTCCTTTGGAGTTTTTCAATGACGAGCCCACGCGAATAAGGAAATCTTTTGCCTCCAGTCGGCGTCTTTTTTGGTTAAAACGGCAGTGGGCAGCAGTAATGATAATGTCCTTGCTGTAAATAGAGCCTCCACTATGATGTCGCCCATTCACTTGTAAGGACACCTGCCAAGGAGCCTGTTCTATTTCAATGTTCTGCCCACCGATAATCCTTTCCACCGGTCGGGAAACTCGTCCTGCAGACAGGAAGTTTATGGCCAATAGCAGTAGAAAACTCTGGATGAACATCTTCACTGGTTTGATTGCGACTTAAGATCACAATGTCTGTACTACCGACGGAGCAAGTATTTTATATGCCATGGCCTGTAAGGTGCTCTTCAAGTATTTCTTAGCACAAGTTTTCAACGCGAGGAATTCCAAACATTTTTGCTTTTCAAAAACGATAAAAATAATGTTAATAACCCAAACCTGTCAGACTAAATATGTAAAACAAACTCTCATTTATTGAAAAAGAGAAAGAGAAAGAACTGTCGACGATATCTAACTATGAAAAGAGAGGCAATTTAAGTTAGTGTATAAGTTTCAGAGTTGTTTATTTAAATGGACCTCTATAGTTCGATTCTATTCACTACACGAGGAAATTGGTCTAATAATTAAAATGCATTGAATGCTTACCAAAAATTCAAAATTGCAAAGCAAAATATCAGCCAATAAAAACAATATTTAAAAACGAACTTGTTAACGCTTCTAAAGTTTCATGACTTCTTTACCCAAATATAGTCAACAGCAATTAAATTAATAAATACTTTTATTTAAAAAAAAAAATATGAATTCCATTTCAATATTTAGTCCAATAGGTTTTGGTATTTAACATTATTCTTATCTTTAAGGAAGTCAGCGATACTTGAAACGAAAACAAATGATTGGAATTCCCCATTTCGAAAACTTGTGATAAGTTTAGAAATACTTGAAGAAAACTTTGCAGTCCATGGCTTATAAAGTACTTGCTGTCATGCGCTTAGGTTAAGTTCACCAACAAAGTACCGAAAAAAAACATCATTATTACCTTCACATAATGGCGATCCGGTGCTTTCATATCCTATTAGTCTTCAAGGGGTGTTTGTAACGATATGGAATCAATGTACGGAGTGTCCCCTTCTTACGAAACTGGATTCTAATCAAATGTATTTAATGCAAAGAACAAACAAATAAATCCATCGTATCTACGATGGATACGGATACATTTAACCAATTTAAATGAGTTCCATACACTATTAGTCAAATAGTAATCGCAATAAATTAAATAGATTCCATTAAACATATCGGGAAGTCCGTCTGAGACATGGCAGTCGTCAGTTATTAAGTTTTAAATGTTTATATTATATTATCTTCCAAATCTAAATTGTATTTCAGAAGTCATTACCATAAATGTAAATGTTTTGGCAACACCTTAGCCCCGATTTTAAAACGGTTAGCGGAGTAATGGGTATCTAACAGTCGGTTATTGTCTAACTGTGCATATACAATTTTTTTTTTCGTTTTGCAGGTATATATTGTTAAGTCATTTTATTCCTTTGATAAATCATATCTTTTTTTCATTTATTACCTAAATAAACAAAAAAAAAAACATTGTTTTGTAAATTTTAAAATAAAACAATCAAAAAATATTATTCATTGAGTAATGACTTTTTTTTAACTAACTCAAATATAATTATTATCAGAATATTATGAAAATTATAAATTTAAAAGAAATGAAATGGATTTTCCAATGTATCCAGTCAGAGAGAATCCATATGGCTTTTCTCCCTTTCCGTATGGCGATCTTACCACATGAACAATCCTAACTGGCAGTCCCTGCTGAGGACTCATTGCCCCAGGTGGTGGTCCACACTCACCTGGCTCCGGGACATCCACGCTCACCTCGAGCGGCACAATTATGGGCGGCACGGTGATCTCCTCCTCGTTGAACTCGTCCGGTGGCTTGATGGTCTCCTTGGTCAGCTCGTGGGCGTACTGGCGGAGCACCGAGGGCGGAGTGCCCAGCACCTCGTCCACCTTCCAGAAGCACATGAGCAGCTCCTTGTCGTGGAGCAGCTCGATGACCTCCGGCGCAAGGGGATTCTCGGCTGCGAAGTTGACCGTGGCGAAGTCGCCGGGCGTGATGGGAAAGACCTTGCGGTCCTTGCACTGGATCTTGAGGGGATCGGCCGGCTCGGAGAGCTTCTTGAACATGTCGCGGTTCACCTGCGGCCCGAACACCGTGATCCCGATGTCCGGCAGGTTGGCCATGATGCAGTCGGTCACGCTGTGCAGGTACTCCAGCCTCTTCCGCCGGCTCTCCGCCAGCTCGATCTCCTCGGCCAGGCGCAGCGCCCTGTTGCGCACCTCCAGCTGCTCCAGCTCGATCGGCTGCAGCTCGGTGATCTCGTAGCTCACGTGCGACTCCTTGGCCAGCGTCGACTGCAGCATCCGGGTGATCATGACCACCAGCTTGGGCACGTCTGTGCCGAACATGATGTTGATTGCCTTGCCGTTCTGAAACAGCAGTGCGAATGGTTGACTCTTAACTTAATTATATTTATTTCATTTAAACATTGATTTTTCAAAGTTGTTAATTTGGATTGTAATTTGTATTGTCTATTCGAAAAGTTTGAAATCAAAATCGTGGTAAATTATTTTAGAAAGAGAGTCGTGCCCCCATAAACTATATATTATGCATTCGTATACAAACAAATTGTTGATTAACAATTCGAAAAAAATAGTTTACATTTTAATTTATAGTTAATAATTTTGTGTAGTTCTTCGACATATAGTAATGGTGCAATATTTTAGAAATACGGTTTAAGTTTCATCAAAATCGTACGACTATAACATAAAGCTCCCTTAGGAACAGTAAAATTATTTAAAAAAAAATTTTTTTTTGAATGTAACATTTTATTTTACTTTTTTTTTAATTCCTTTCGACTTATTAATAATTTGATAGTTTAGAATAACGTTTTTAATTTTATTAAAATCGGAAAACGATATCAGATAGCTGCCATAGGAACTATCGAATAATTGAACTGCAAAACATCATATCTTCAATGTTTTTAAACATATACGCAAGTAAATGATAATTTTAATGTTTTCAAGAATATTTAATTGTTGCAATATCTGCAAGAGTATATAAACTTCGGCTTTCCGAATTTGACTTCCTATCTTGTTTTTTTTTTATAAAAGTTGTAAATCAATATTAAATAAAAACAAGAAAGAAAGCAAACTTCGGCAAGCCGAAGTTCATATACCCTTGCAGCTATTGCATGAATTAAATACTTTTGAAAACATTTAAATTATGATTTACTTGAGTATATACTAAAAAACAGTGAAGCTATGATGATTTGCAGCTCAATTATTAGATAGTTATTTTATATATTTTTATTAGTTCTATGGGAGCTATATGATATAGACGTCCGATTTTGATAAAATTTAAACCATAATTCTGAAATAATTAAACATTGCCATATGTCGAAGAACTAAACAAAAAATTAAAAAACAGAAAAGTTATAATTTTTTTTCATTTATTTCTCCGATTGTTCCTATGGGACCTATATGATATAGTCGTCCGACTTTGATGAAATTTAAACCGTAAATCGAAAATATTTAACCATTACTAAATGTCGAAGAACTAAACAAAAAATTAAAAAACAGAAAAGTAATAATTTTTTTTCATTTATTTTTCCGATTGTTCCTATGGGAGCTATATGCTATAGTCGTCCGATTTTGATGAAATTTAAAACGTAAATCGGAAATATTTAACCATTACTAAATGTCGAAGAACTAAACAAAAAATTAAAAAACAGCAAAGTTATAATTTTTTTTCATTTATTTTTCCAACTGTTCCTATGGGAGCTATATGCTATAGTCGTCCGATCCGGCTCGTTCCGACTTATATACTACCTGCAATAGAAAGACAGCTTTTGGGAAAGTTTCATGCAGATAGCTTTAAAACTGAGAGACTAGTTTGCATATAAACGGACGGACAGACGGACGGACAGACGGACATGGCTAGATCGACTCGCCTATTGATGCTGATCAAGAATATATATACTTTATAGGGTCGGAGATGTCTCCTTCACTGCGTTGCAAACTTCTGACTGAAATTATAATACCCTCTGCAAGGGTATAAAAATGCTTGCAACTTCACAGCTTATTTGAAATATCATTATCGTATCGTCAATCAATTTTATTAAAAATTATATATAATATATACATTGTTACAAAATGTAGTAGTCAAGTATATCATACTCATTTTAACTATTTTTCGCATGCATATGCATCTTTTGCGGTTGCAAGTTACTTTATACATGGAAATATTAAATATATATTCAATATTCAAGTATCTGAAATATTTATTTAAATTTTCCCCATATTAAACGTAGTCATTATGCTATCTAATATTTTGTCACAATAGTTTAAATATTTCAATGCTACATCCTTTTCGGAATTGATTTAAATATCTGAAATACTAAATTGTATTTTAAACCATATAAAACATAAATACAAAGTCAGGCAACTTGATATGCATTGTATTTAATAGTATGATTTTATAATTAATTTAAATTTAAGTACTATTCCATTTTGTACAGTGTAATTTTGACTTAGCCACACTCACCGTAACAAACATCCAGGTGGGCTCACTCTTCTTGTTGAACCGCTGAAGGGAGGAGATGGACCCCGCCTTGCACTGATGATTCGGAAAATAGGTGAATGCGCATGTAAGTGATAATCTTGGGCTGCCCTGTACCGAGTCTTACGATGGCCAGCTGCAGGTTATCGCCTCCCAGTTCGAGCTTGATCTTCCGGAGGCTGCCCACCATGCCCAGGCAGGAGCCGCACCACTCCGAGTAAATGTCGAGCACTGCATCGGTACAATTTGGCATGGGTTAGTATCAATCTAAGTGCTGGTCCCCGCAGCCATCATCAAAAAGTGGCTTCAGTGGCTCCTTCCCATCAAGGACATCCACGTACACGTACCCAGCAATCCGGGTCGCAGCAGAAACTTCTCGAACTCCTCGTCGGTGCTTATGTCCGCCTGGAGCTGCTGCACTCCTCCCTTCTTGGCCATTTTTTGCTCACTGAGTCACTGAGCCACTGAGCCACTGAGTATCACCCATTAATCAGGTGCCGCCAATACGGCCAAAATAATGCAGCACAATGTATTGATTAAACGCTGGTTGTCAAGAGAGCAAAGTCACGCAGGATTCGCTGAAACATCTTCATATACATATATGTATTTGTTTATTTATGCAGAACAAGCTTAGAACATCTGAAACTCCCCATAAAATTAAAAATATATTGCATTAAGAAACCTGATCCGTACACAGTAAGTAAAAAAGGTTAAAGTAAACCAAAATAGACGTTTTATATATGCATTTCGAGATCATAAAATAGCTGTCAAGAGAACGATCGGACAACCAGGATAAAATCTCAAACAAATTGCTAAGTGAAGTTTTTTTTTAAGGGATTCAGTATCGTTTTGCTTTTTATGAAAATCAGAGGACTTTGCTTTATAGTTTCCACAAGAGCGGCTATCGACAGGAACAGTCTTGTCTAGCAAATAAATGCATTTTATATCTTTTGAAATCAACCTGTATACGTATACAGAAAGAATCCTTTTTTTAAATGCTAGATCATCGGCACGCCGAGATTTTGAATCAAACTCAGAGAAATCTTTGTATGCACATTGATTTAATTGAAATAGTTTGATAAAAGGGGTGTCTACGTAGCGTAAATCAATAGTAATTTGGGAATCGGCAGGCCGACAGAGTGAATACTTCTGGGGTTTGTCTGCCACAAATAGTCCCACTTAGTGATCGTGTCGCATTTGCCTGCGCAGCTCTCGCATTGTTATCTGCAAGAAACATTGGGCATCGTTAGCGGGTCGTGGATGAGCTTATTTGGGATCATATCGATGGCGTTAGATACTTGTTTGTCATTTACATTGATGAAGTGATCAAGTTGCTTACGTTATTTACCTTTAGAACTGTGGAACAATCTTTGAAATACAGTTATTTACGCATCGGCTTAAGAAATCTTTAAATAATTTCAAAGTCAATAGAATTTTAGAAAGTTCGAGCTCAAATTCGTAACGAGGGTCAGACAAACTATAACTATTACAGATTTGCTTTCATGGGCGGGATATGCATGTAAATGTTGCCGGGATGTCGGGGGGTTTGGATCGCAAGCAGGACACCGGTTAGAGTAGAATGGCGGCATATTATCACCGGGATGACTGCGGATTATTTACACATCTAATTTAACTAGAAATCAGTGGGCGGCGAAGTGATGCGTTCGCGCCCGTTCAAAATTTTGGTTACGGGTTGGGGTTCGGGTTCGTGATCAGTTAGACATAAATGCTATTGCGGGCGCTACTGGGTTTGATATCGTATCAATTCATATCTATATCTTCCAGTCGTACAGGCTGCGTGTACGGTATGACCGACTTCTTGTTCACGTCCCTCGACAAGGCCTTTCTCATGTCTGCAAAACGAAAAATAAAGAGGGTGAAAAGGGTCAGCGGTCAGCAGGTCAGCAGGTCAGCAAGGGTGTGCAAATAAAGGCGTACCGTATGCATCCTCATCCTGGTCGCCGGAGTAGTACTCGAGTATGGTGCGGTATATGATGTAGCCGAGATTGGTGTACATGTTAATGGCCACCTGGTTGCTCTTCCGCACGAAAAGATCTACGAAATAGGCGCGCTTCCTGGGAGAATGGAAAAAGCAGCAAAGGGTTGTTAACATCCTCATATCGTTGGGCTCTTCGTCATGCTCACTTCTCTGAAATGTCCTCCAGGAAGCTCATCAGCAGTGCGGCCAGTCCCAGTCGCCGGTAGTCGGGCGAGACGGTCAGCGCCGTAACGTGGCCGTGCCAGTTGTCCAGGTGACCCTCCACTTTGCCCATGACTGCAGGGGAAAAGTGGACACTTTAGAAAGATGGAACAGTGGAATCTAGTGCTGAATCTAGTGCCCTCCACCAAGTCGGAATCAGTGGATAAGTGGGGCAGCGAACGCGGAACTTACTGTAGCCCATTATGTGCCCGCTGGGTGACTCCGCCAGTTGGAAGTACTCCGGCCACTTGGCCAAGTACTGCGTGTAGAAGGACAGGCCGTAGGTTTCCGTAAGTGGGTCAAAGTTTCTGGTGGACCAGCCAAAGAGCATAAGATTTACGGGGCGCGAAAAGAGGTTTGCTTCGCAGCATACTCACACATTGTTGAATTTGAAGAGGTCGTCGCAGGTAAAGGGTCGCAGCGTGGTCATCTTGAGGCTAATATTTACAATTCTATTTATCCAAATGGCTCACCGGCACTGTCTGCAATAGAGATGGGCCACTGTCGATAGCACAGAAGCTATCGATAGTCGGGAATGTATTCAGCAGGGTACACACCATTTTCCCGCCGAAAGACAAAGCTTTTGGCAAGGTTACAGAAAAGAACTCTGGAAATAGTTCCATTCGAATGGAACGAAACCGCTACATAAAGGCACATGCAACAGAAGTAAACTGGAAAGGACGACAAGTGTGACCCTGTCTGCGTTGAAATCAGAGCTTCCTTGCTGCTACCACTACGGTCACACTAGCACGCCCACGTTTGCTCCTTCCAGCTGCTGGTATATCTGTTGCCCGTGGGAGCAGTCATGGAGCAGTCTCGGCCGCAGGCGAGGTCCTCCTCCTCCTCCTCCGCCTCCACAGGGGGCGGGGTCGGCAAGCCCCAGGACTCTGGACTCCTCACGCGCGACGACTTCGACGGCGGACCCGTGAGCATCGACGAAGTGGACACAGGACTTTTTTTGGGTAAGCGACCTTGGAACGCTCCTCCTCCTCCACCTCCTCCTCTCGAGTTTCAAGGATTTTCACCCTCCCATCCTCCGCAGGCAACCTCACGGCCGCCACACACATGGAGACGCTGCGTTCCTTCAAGATCACCCACATCCTGACACTGGACTCGGTGCCCCTGCCGCAGCACATCCTGGAGGCCAGCTTCCTCACCACCAAGTACATACAGAGTAGGTAGCTCCTTGGAACAGCTCACTGGTGTGTGCCGCTGGGGTGTCTGTGTTTTAATCCAATGCTTTCCTGCCTGCAGTTGCCGACATGCCGCGCGAGGACATCCTGCAGCATCTGGAGGGCTGTGTGGACTTCATCAGCGCCGCCTTGGCCCAGCAGGGCAATGTCCTGGTGCACTGGTGAGCATGTGGCTTTGGTTAGTCGCCCCCCCCGGCTCCTTAAGTTTCCCCCGCCATCCACCAGCTACTTTGGCGTCAGTCGCAGCTCCTCCACGGTCATCGCCTACATGATGAAGCGCCACAACCTGGACTTCCTGCCCGCCTACGAACTGGTCAAGTCCAAGCGCCGCTTCGTCCAGCCCAACGCCGGATTTGTCAGCCAACTGAAGCTCTTCCGGCGCATGGGCTGCAAGATCGATCCGAGCTGCCAGCGCTACAAGATCCACCGCCTCCGCTTGGCCGGCGAGCAGATGCGCAAGGCCAAGATCCTGCCGCAGAGCTTCCACAATGTGGTCCGCCCAGATCCGGACATCACGCGCGAGAACCCGGAGCCCATTGTCTTCCGCTGTCGTCGGTGTCGCCGCGTCTTGGCCTCCAAATCCCATGTGCTGGAGCATAAACCGCGCGACAGGCCGCCATCGCAGGAGGTGGTGGAGATGGAGCCCCAGCAACAGCCGCAGTCCAAGCCTAAGCCCACCCAGGAGGAAGGACCTGAGCAGCCCAGTGCAGGTGGTCCTCGCATGCTGGAGCAGCTGGCCGAGCGCATCCGGCAGTCGTCATTGGGTTCGCCCAACCATGAGGGCACCCCCAACCATTGCCGCAGCATATTGTTTGTGGAGCCCATTGCCTGGATGCACCGCATCATGCTGAACACCCAAGGTCGCCTCTACTGTCCCAAGTGCGAACAGAAACTGGGAAATTTTAGCTGGATCAACGGTACGTTGGTACACTCAATGACTATGATGATTACTAAACCGCAATTGGTGTCCACTTATCTTTTAGCCTGCAAGTGTCCTTGCGGGGAGACGATGACCCCGGCATTTTACCTGATACCTTCCAAGGTGGAGCTCTCCAAGGCCGTGCAGAATGTGCAGACCACAGTTTAGGTGCTGTTTGCACGAAAAAGAAGGAGATGGCATCACAGTTCCGGCACAGAAATGGAATTAGTCTCATGCCCATGTCCACTGTCGCCAGATCCAGGACACCAATGGTTCATTGTTTGTAGTCGCTGCTAAGGGCATACAACTAAGTTTCAAATAGATCAATCTATAGAAGCATTGTGGTATTTGCAATATCACGGTTTTAGGAAAAATCACATTTTAAAGTCTTAATTTAAATTATCTTCTTAAGTACTCCATTTGATTGGCATGCATATCAAAAGTTGCCCTTTCCTAGTGTGATTTATTTTTTATTTCATAATTTAGAGATAAGATTTCGTTGAACCTTAAAAAACTGTACATACTTTGTAAGTACCAACCACTTTGTTACATTGTAATATATAGAATTTTATACATTTTGTAATCCGTTTAAAAGTAATGACAGTTTGGGAGTCACATTGCCCAGCGATTTCAAGAATATGTCGAAAATACATACAAATGTGACCGTTTAGTTTGGAGTCTAAATAATTTTAAACCATCTTCAAAATAGATTTTATTAATTACAATATTTGACACACAGAGAAGTTGATCATGCTAAAAATGGCTGCTGAAATAAGCTAAACAAATGTCATGAGTCTCGACAATCTTCAATGTACACCAATCAAATGGCCGGAATACAGAAGATATTTAAATTGAAGTAATTGTGACTTTCTTCAAATCGTTATATCTTAAATACTGCAATTCGAGAAACATAAAACATAGGTATGCAGTTGTGCATATGAGTCTCACTTTGTTGTCCTGAACTGTGAGCCGGCTGATTAAACACCTTGCTGAATATCGCCACCAATCAATATTTGAAAAGAAACCCTTGAAATCGACCCGAAATCGGTTATAAGATCTGTCGTGATGTCAAAGTATCAAAGCTTAAGCGAACAGGGCATTGTCCTCGATGGATACACCCAATACAAATATTTTAATTGTAAATTGTAAAACTAACATATCTGAGAAAGTAACTTTGGATTCAAGTTAGACGGCAAAATGCACTTTTTGTAGACATAAGAAATAATCAAAGCAAAGAGCATTGATTCCTTTCCAGATGGCAAAATACCACTGACAAATCGAGTTGAGATAAGATGTTGTTTCATTTTATATAGTTAGCCAAACCATTTGCCGATATTGTAAAATTATACACGTACGTACATATGTACATTTGTTGGAAATCATGATAAAACCAAATCAATTTTGCTGTTTCATATGCATTTGCATAGCTTTTTGCATGTTACCGACACACAAACAAAACACACACCCAAACTATAAATGTATTTTCGATATTTTAAACTTTTTGGAAAGTGTTTTACGCAAAACTAAAGAAAGAAACCAAATATTTTCAATGACAATATCTAAATTTACGCGATAAATGTTGTAGTAAAGAGCCTCATGTCCAAGGATTTCGAACCAAAACAGAACAGTATCAAGATTCGAGGTGACACTCAATGTACATAGGTAGTATCCTCGGACATTTCGGCATCACACCTTATCGATATTGATGTGCTTTGTTGACCTATACATATATACATAGTATATACTGTATGTGCTGTATGTAAATGAGTGTGCATTGATATTAAAATCAAAATTGTTTGTTTTCCATACCAAAAATGTTTGCTATTTCGAGGCGCCTTCACCTTCACCACCTTCACCGCCTTTCGGCTTTCCGTTTCCCCTTGCGGCCATGTAGCCATTCGTCTGGACCTGGACCCCGCATCCTGGCCGCCATGGACTTTGACAAGACCATCGTGCAGCAGGACTCGTATCTGGCGGTGAGCCAACTGCTGCCCAGCCAGCAACGCCAGCAACTGCAGGAGCTAATACCCAAGTCCGGCTGGCTGGAGTTCATGGCCCGTGTGCTGCAGCTGCTCCACGCCGAGCACAAGGTGAACTCCGCATCGGTGGGAAGGCTGGTGCGTCGTCTGCCAGCGGTCCCGGGAATGCTGCGCGTGGTGCGACTGCTGGCCAAGCACCCCCAGGTCGATCTGTGCATCGTCAGCGATGCCAACTCCTTCTTCATCGGCGAGTGGCTGCGGGAGTACGACATCGAGGACCTCTTCACCGGCGTCTTCACCAATCCCGCCTGCCTGCAGTCCAGCGGCGAGGTGCTGGTGCTGCCCTTCGAGGAGCAGGCCCACTGCGCGCTCTGTCCCGCCAATCTCTGCAAGGGGGCCGTGCTGGAGGAGCTCATCTGCGGCGGCCAGTACGAGCGGGTGGTCTACGTGGGCGACAGCTGCAACGATCTGTGCGCCATGCGGCGCCTGCGGCGGTGCGATGTGGCCTGCATCCGGCGCGGATACGAGCTGTACGGAAAGCTGGGTGCCCACGGACGCGATCTCTCGTGCGCCGTGCTCACATGGCGCGATGGCCACGAGCTGGAGGAGCTCCTGCTGCCCAAAATCGTGGCGTAGAGCAGCTAGAGTTTGTGGTAAGGCCAGGTTATTAATGCTGCTGTTTTATTCGACTTAAAAATAAATCTTTTAGTATGTATACATAAGAATAATTTCACTTAATAAGGACTTAAGCAGTAAATTCCATGGAAAAGTAGATTCACGGGTTCTCTGTTGCCCGAGTAATGTCCACTTTTTTGTTAAGTAGACCGAAAACTTATAGCCTAACCTATTCATTTATCATCGTTCGCTATTGCTGCTGCGGCGGTATCAGAACTGTTTCTGTTTCTAATCTGCTTCTGTTTCTATATCTGCTTCTGTTTCTAATCTGCTTGTTTATGCCTAATCATATTTCACACATCAATCTGTATCTTTGCCTTCCCTATACTCGCCTGCCAAAATTATATATCTGTTCTTGTGCTTTTATCTTATAGTTACAGGTAATTGGTAATATATATCATTTGTTTGCGTGTGGGTTTAGGTTCGATTGTTGGGTGTTGTAGTGTTAGCATAAATTACATTTATAATACATTCTTAGCCGTACAATTACAGAGTTGAGTTTCGCCACCTTCGCATTCTGATCAAACGAAGAACATTGTGGGCGAAACTGAACGAAAAAAAACAAGCAGCTAACGCACACAAAGACACTACTTAGATTGTGCTTAACTACTTACATGGACTACAGGGCTTACTTCTTATAAATACATACATATGTATACATGATCAAAAAATTCGGCGCGTAAGACATTTAAAATCAAAATAGGTGTGTGTGTGTGTGTATATATAGATAGATACATATATAGTATATAGATACAGTGGGGTTTAGACATAGAGGGGGACTGAGAAATAGACACTATTTCCATTTAAAAGTAAACAGCAAGACGAAACAGCTAGGACTACAAATGGGGACAACGACAAGTACGTGGACCAAGACGATTACACACGGTCACGTCACGATTGAACTAAAATGCGTCAAATGTCAAATGAATTCTCTAGAAACATAATGAAATTGTGACTTAGTGCTAGGCCTTTAAACTTTGAACGTAATAGAAAACTTAAGCATAACGTGGTCTACTCGGTGATTGCTGTGATTGTTGTCATGTGTGTATGTTGTGTTGTGTTGCGTTGTGTTGCGCTGTGTTTTGTTGTGTTTATGTGGTTTGGGGATTGTGTTTAACATTAGCAAAGTTAAGTAACATAACTATAATAGGAATATTCATATATGTATGTATAAAACAATCGCAATACGATGTGTACTGACAGTAAAAAATAAGTATAGTTTGTAAAAAAAAAATTCTTAAATAGTTTCCTCTCCAATCTGGTTCTATCTATTCTTGTGTAGCATTGATTAATACTATGCATCTGTGTGTTTCTGGGATGGCGGCCACGCTAGTGGCTTCTGCAGGAGGAGGAGTGGCGCGTCCGGCGCTAACTATAAGTCCGTTAGAGTGCGCTTGGCACAATAACGTATGACCCCCACTCAGGCAACAACCGGCGGCGGAGCTATGCCAATCGGCGTGGGCGTGGGTGTGGGCGAGGGCGTGGCAGTTGGTGCTCCTGTTGATGCCGCTGTTGCCGTAACAGTTGTCGTCGTCGTCGCCGTCGACGTCACTGCATCCTCGGAAACCCCGTTCCCATTTCCATTTCCATTGCCGTTCCCGTTTCCGCTGAAGCTGCTGCTGCACTGCATCGTTGTGATATTGACCGCAGCATTCGTCGGCTGCCGCCTACTCGTCGTCGTGCCCGCAATGGTTGTGGCCGCCGCCACCGTTGCCTCCAGAACAGGTGGCAGAGATGCCGCCACGGGCATGGCTGCCTTTGGACTCAGTGCCGCCGCAGGGGCAAGAGCAGCCGCCTGACCTCCATTCGTGGCCGGGCTGGGGCTCGGTATCGAACTGGCATCCGTGCTCGTCGTGGACATGATATCCGTCGCGGAGGGCACAGCCACAGTCGCAGCCACAGCCACAGCTGCCACTGAAGTCGCCGGCTGCCGCTTGGCGGGCTTGGTCCGCGCACAGGGTACACAGAACATGGCGGCGTGCTCGCGCAGCTTGGTCAAGTGGTCGAGGCGGTACTCGTGCACCCATTTCAGACGTTTGCTGCGCGGCAAAGCCTTTGACCGCTCCCCATTGGGCGAGGGCCCTCCCGCTGACTGGGTTACGCCGGCCATTTGGGGCAGTCCCTCCGGTCGAGTGGCTCCGCATCGCATGCACACACAGCAGCGTTCACAGCTCCAGCGTCCTGAAAAAGGTTTTAAAAGAGTGTCTTGGTTAGCTCAGCTCAACAGTATTATATCGTAAGTTTTTCAAGCGAAATGGTTACAACAATAATTGAGTTCCCCAAGGAATCCAAAATATACACCAACATCTTAACACGCATACAACTATTGAAACATTTTAATAAATAATAAAAAAAAAAATGTAAAAAATACACACAGTCATCTAGTACTTAAAGTTTATATGTTAGTTTTAGTTTAAGATATTCTAACTAACAGAAGAAGCCACTAAAACCTTATAATATAAAACTGCTCGACTAAACTATTGAAATAAAAATATTTTAAATAAATATTATTAGAAAATGCGAGCTTAAGACCTCTATCAGCTAAATAAATAAATAGATATCATAAATACCACCAAGTCTTGTATGCAACACAAACAAATCAATCTTATTATAAACAGGCTAGGATTAGGACATGGAACCCTCATAAATGGTAACTACTTGACAAAACTAAAAATTAAATAGTTAATAATCATCTATTACTATTATACTTTATAATCAAGCCAATGGCAAACACCACCAGGGAAATAAATGTGTTTAAATTAAAAATGTATGCAAACATCTAGACCTCCTTTTGCCTTTTGGATTCCACTTTTACTTCTGTTCTGTGTTCTAGGCCCTACACTACTTACCATCTGGCACCGTCCTCAGACCCAGGCAGTAGATGTGGTAGCCTCGGTCGCACTGCTCGCAGTAGAGCATCTTCCCCGGCCGCTGACTACTCCGGCACTTGATGCAGCACTTGCAACCGGCGCACTGCCAGTTGTAGTTTCGCACACGACCCACCATTCGCTGGGGCATCTCAATGCAGCTAGGATGGACTGCAAGAGCAAAGAGGCGATAAGTTGGAGGCTGAAGTGACAAATGGCGGGTAACTTACCTCGCCTCCGGCAACTGTAGCAGCGGATAAAGGCCTCCGGCATGTCCCTGGCATTGCGGTGCTGGCTGCGCAGGCAGACGCCACAGTTGGACAGCCTGGTCGACGGCGCAGACTCGTTTCCATCCTCGTCCTCGCTGCCAGCTCCACTCGAGGCACCCGTCGAGCTGCAGCAGCTCGAGCTGCTGCTGAAGTCGCTTTCATCGCCGCTGTCCTGAAATTGAAAGAGAGTGTGTAAATAACACTGGGAACTAAGGCCAACAGACTTCAGGACAAATCTGTGCAGCAAATGTCAACATAATACAAATGTGTCCGTTAAAAGGCTAACATTATAAATCTATTCTAGTGCAACATAAGTTTCTAAATCCTTAAAAGATCGAGTCTCTTAGCTGCTTCAGGAAATGAATTAGTTAAGACCAAAAAAAAAAAAAAAATGTACAACACCTTGTTTTCAATACAATTCTTAAATCTTCGCTGGTAAAAAACTTAGTTCACCGCTAATAAATTAATTGTTTAGAAAGTTTCGATGAAATTAATTTTCCTAGGCTGTAAAGCTTCATTTCAAGACCATTCGCGGACCAAAAGAATATGTTTCAGAAAGTCCCAAAGGTAGTCTGACCTGACCAAACCGCAATGTTGTCGCTCAACTCACCGTATCACTGCTGCTACCGTTGCCGCTGGACGCGGATGAAAGCGACAGGGCGGAGGAAACGCTCGAGTTGCTGGCCGTGCGCACCTTGTCCGTCTGCTGGCGTGTCGATCTTCTGCTTCGTCGAACGGGCGCCGCCACCGTTTGGTGTTTGCTTGCAGCCTGCTCTTGATCTAGCTCCTGATCCTTGCTGACGGAGGTGGCGGACATTTTGACTTCTTCACTGCCAGTAACTTCGACATCGCGCTGAAGCAGCTGCGTTTCCAGCGAATCGGTTGGCGGCTTGTCCAGCGCAGTGTCCAACGGATACGCTCTGCAGGAAGGGACGAGAATTGTTAGGAGAAGAGTGCAAGTGATGGCCCAACAACTAAAGGACTTACCGAAGCTCGGCGGGCTCAAAGTGGCGATAGGCCAAGGAGAACTGATCCGGCACCACTGCCAGTGGAAAGGCGTAGTCTGAGTGCCGGAAGGCCTCGTCGTAGACGCGGGGCGGCAAAAGAGTGGGCGGGGCGGGCATATTTTCCGCTTCTGCCGCTGCACGCACCACACTCGCAATGGAGCGCTGTAGGCGGGTGGAGGTGGGCGCCGTCCTCTGCAGCGGCTGATTCATTGTAAACGTCTGCAGATCCAAGCAAGCCAAACGCTCATCCTTCCGGCTGCATGGAGAGAAGTGAAAAGACAGTCATTAGAGATGTTGCCTCTACCAAAACACTGCTAGATTCCAACTCACGTCTTGTTGAAATAGACGTTCCACTTGCTGGCCGAGAGCATGGCACGGTCACGGGCTTGCAGACCGCGTCCGGCACCAACTGTAAGTCCCAGCGCCTTCTGCTTAGCCTCGATCTCGCGCAAGTGCTTCTGGCGAATGTACTCCTTGTACTCCTCATACTTGTCGTAGAAGTCCGCGTACATGATGTCCAAGATGTCGGAGGCCCACACAGCGGTGATGCCCAGATCGCACATCTTCTCGCTGACCAGTCCCTTCTCCTGCAGCCAGTTCCGCTCCTCCATGTCGACGGCACGGCGTGGCAGATCCGGGTACTTGCGCTTGAAGCTGGTGATGCCCAGGTAGAGGGCAACCTGCTCCTGGATCATAAAGGTGTCGCGGTTCTTCGAAGGACAACAGCCTTTGGGCGGCGGCCAGTCGTACTCCGCGATGCTGGAGGCGCTGTAGTCCGAGCTGCAATTTGTTGTAGAGTTAATAAACTGATTGGTTGGGCTATATGGGATGATGCACTTACTCTTCGGCTACGCAAATTTCCATCTTCTTTTTCTTTGGACGTTTTAACGCAGAACCCAGAATAACATCGACGGACTGACCCTGGTTCGAGTCGAGCAGGCTTATATTGCTCATCATGGACGACTGTGACTCCTCGTTGTTGAGGAAGTCGGGTTGCCTGAGTGGGGGAGAGGAAATTCTGAATTCCGATGCTAAAGGCACTGCCGAATGAAAGACTTACTTCTGCGGAGTTAGCGGGGGTTCCATCAGGCTGATCATAGACATCGACTGACTGCTGTTGCTTAGATCTGCACTCATACGCGTGTCCTCCTCAAACACTTGCGGCGACTACAAAATATACAAGATAATACAAAATATGACAAGCTGTCTATAAAATAGAGCAATAAAATATATGTAGACACCTTAGCATGAACTTTTAAAACCAGGGTAAATCGCACGTAAACACCTGAACAATTTTGATTTTTACTTAAACTAATAGATCCTTAAATCGTTTATGACCATTTATGTACATGCTATTAATTAAATTCAGTCCATCGCATAGTTGTATTCATATTTATGAATATGGAGCTTTAAGTCGAATAGTCCAGTAATAATGATCGATAACATAATTTATAGGGTCCTGATTGTGTCTTGTTTAATAATGCACTACAAGCGTATTTTCCAAATTAAAAACCCCTTAAAATATAAATATGGGAAACACGCCAAACTCTAAATAATAATAAGAGGATGTTTTTATACATATGTATGTATGTAAATAATTATCCATTTATCCATTGTTTCCCTTTGCACATGTCAAGACGTGCAAAAGGAAAACCACCTAGCGGAGTTGCCAGCTCCCAACAAAATGCACATACACAGCATCGCTGAGAGAGCAAAAAGAAGAGAGCGATAGAGCAATAGAGAGCGGCGTCAGCGACTGCAACAGCAGCAGCAGGTGTGGTGAAGGTGGACTACCGCCAGCGAACACAGACACACATATAGATGTGCGCGTTTGTGTGCGATTGGCGAGAGCCAAACAAAAACTTCAGCTGATTAAAATCGCAGGTCAAGCCAACAACAATCTCAGCGACTGCGCTGCTCAGTTCGCAGCTGCTTCTTTTTCTGCTCCCCCTTTAACGTCCCCCCTTCCCCGGGATCATCCGGTACTGCAGCAGCGGCTCATCTTGTTGTTGCTTTTGCACTTACACTAGGCCGTTGGCAATGAATTCACTACATGGCGCGCGCCTTTGTTTTTAATTACGACACGTTAGCCCTCGGTGTATGTGTATGGGTATGTGGGCAAATTTACGTAACGAAACATAAACAAGAAAGCAATGTAATGCAAATTATAAACGCCAGTACAAGCCCCAACTGTACTGACCATCTTCAACACGATGCCCCACATTTGTGACATCGAGAAGAACTGGCGACTGACTATCTCGTCCCACTCCACTGTCTCTCGTTCCCTTATCTCGCCCATGCGAATAACGGGTTATCGTGGTTTCTAGTTATAGCACTCGTAATTTAGGACTAACAAAAATTTTCCGGATTACATCTTTCGACCTTTACTATTTTAATGTATTGCATGTATGCCTTTTGGGTCTTAATGCTCATTGAGCATTGCTCATACACTCTTTTTTTTTTTTTTTTTTTATACAAAGCCCGTCAATTCGCCGGTCTCCCTAAAACTCTCGCTAGTGTTCGTCGGTTCGTTGTCGGTTATGTTCTTTCAACGGCAGATATCGCTTTTGTTTACTTAAGAAAAACCAATATTCCGGCTCAAATGGTACCAGTAAATACGGGTAAGAATGACCTCCCAAGTATTTGATGCTTTTGGAACAATTCAACAATCAACATCCATCAACATATTTTTGGGTAAAGAGTGTCATAAACAAAAAAAAAATGTATCTCAATATTCATTTGGGTATAAATATATTATTTTTTTCCTTTAAAGAAAATATAGGTCTTTTTGAACTATCCATTGGATTTTCTTAGAATTAATAACAAGTGTTTTGATTGGCCCTTAATGAATTCGTTGAAATAAAAAAACATTTTCGGAGAATCGAAACGAAAACTTGATATTCTTAGAATCAATAACAAGTAATCTGATTGGCCCTTAATTGATTTGTTAATTGTAATAATATCGATATCCATTCCCAGATAATTCCCTGGAAATGAATGCTCACTGAAACCAATAGCGATCATATTTATATGACCATATATTACTCTTTGGTAGGTTGCAATCCTTAAAGCGGAAGCCTCACTTACCGGACTAAACAAGCCTTTAAGTCTCTCGGGATCGGGCGTGTGCTTCAGGCCGCCCACGCAGCGAGGTCGACTCATGGCGATGGCCTTGGCCACAGCGCTAGCTCCACGGCTCATCCGTGGCGCCCGAGGCTGCGTGGCCGGGGTCGTGGAGCCGATGCCTCCGCTGCCAGCTCGATCTGCTGAAGAAGAGCCTCTGTTGCTGTTGCGTCCTCCTCTGGATCCCCGGCCACGACCACGTCCCCGGGTGGGAGTCGCCATCGTGAGCATCGGCAACGTTGTGGCGGATTCGTCTGGGAACAGTTTATTGTGTTCATTAGAACAATAAACAATAAACAATTTTATCACTTTTTTCTTACCTCCGGAGTTGTCCAGTGCGCTGTTATAGTTATCTTCATCGTGTGAGTCTGGTTGACTGCCGCCGGCACTGCCACCGCTGATGCTGGAGGGGCGCGGTGAACGGAGCTGTTGGGTGGCCATGATCGAGGAGAAATCATTCGGCTGAAAGATGACGTCGGGCAGCGGGTCCGACGAAGACAGGATCGTCGTGGGCGGCAGCATCGAGCTGCTGCCACTGCCACCGATCACCTGCTGGTTGGCGGCGGCGCCGGAAGAGGTCGACGAACTGGACGAGCACATGGTTAGGTCGATCTGTGCGGACAGGGCGAAGGTCATGCTGCTGCTATTGTTATTGTTATTGGACTCGGCCTCGAGGCTACCGAATTGAGCCATCGTCGGCGGCGGCAGCTGTTGCTGGCTCTGCTGGACACTGGCCTTGCTCTGGCGCTTCCGTGTGGACTTGGGCGTGGGCTGCAGGTTGGGATTGTGGGTCGTGGTGCGTCGCGTGGCCCTCAGCTGGCGGTGGTCGCGACTCTTGGGCGTCTCCAATGCGCCGGCAAGCTCATCGTCCACCCTAGCCTTTTGCTCGCCCACTGACGAACCCTTTGGCGTCATGTCCGCCTGCTCCGGTCCCACGCTAACCATGTCGATGGCCAGTCGCTTGCGCAGCAGTTGAACGCGTCGCGATTTAACAGCACTGTTGGTCTCCTCCGGTGGAGTACCGGTACCGGGCTTGGGAGTAACGGCGGAAATAGCCTCGCTTGTGCTCTGGTTCTGGATCCGTTTGGGCCGTCCCCGTTTCTTTCCCGTGCCCGCAGGCGTGGCTACGGGCGGTAGTTGAGGGGGCGGCTGTTCCAGCGGATCCTGAGCCTTCGGCTCCTCCGCCTCGGCACCAGAAGACAAGGCTCCGTTCTGATCCGGCGTAGAAATCGTCTGCTGCTGCTGTTGTTGGGTGGGTGGAAACAGAGCATCCTCCGGGTCCGTATTGAGAATCCGCTCGTGCTTTTGCTTTCGCGAGCGATGCGACGGCGGCAGCGCCTGCACCGATTCACCGGGACTGGCATTGCACTTTCGGGCGGGTTCGTGGCAATTCTGCGTCTGCTGGTCGTTCTCGTCGTTGTCCAGACGTCTCTGTTTGCTGGGAGGGATCTGCGAAGGGCAAAGCAACATCAATATAAAGATAAATACCGCAAAACGCAGAGTGCAAGACTTACGCCACAACTGGGAGATTCGTTGCCCTGGCTGTTGGTGCGCTTCAAGTGGTTCTCGTTGTTGTTGTCCAACTCCTGCTCCTCCATATGTGGCTCCTTGTGGTTAATTTGATGATGGTTATTGAGCAACGGGGGCGGCTGATCGTCGTCCAAGTACTCGGCCCGTGGGCTGCCATCAGGAGTGTCCAGAATCTCAATGGACTCGATTATGGGCGGGGCGGAATTGGCGGAGACCAGCGGTCCAACGATAGCCTCGATCTCTGGCGCAACCACAGATGCGCCACCGCTACCTCCACCGACACCGCCACCACCGTTGGCCATAAGGCGCTCCGTCAACTGCGGATACTTGCTGGATTTGCTCTTGGGCGTGGCCGTAGCGAAGCTCTTGGCCGGCGCCGTCAGCTGGCTAAGCAAGATATTCGAATTGGGCGAGGACGGGGCGCCGCCAGCACCTCCCGTACCCGTTTCACCCGTTGCGGTCGTGAAGCCACCCGACGCAACTTGCGCCCGCAGGCACTCGAGGAGCAGGTTGTTCGGCGTAATGCGCCCCGTGAAGTTGTTGGTGGCCACATGGGCAGGCGAGGAGCCCGGCGACGGGGAGGAGGTGAGGTCCACCATGTCCACCACGTTGTGCTGCGGCTGGGCAGGCTTACCGACCTTGTTCGCAGCGCTGGCAATGCCATTGCTGGCGGCCAGGGGCGGTAGGTTGTGGAACATTTTGGGGTCGTGCTCCTTGGACAGCGAATCGTCTATCACCATGTCGTCCGAGTTGCGGCGACCCTCGTCCGACAGCGATGCTGCCACGGCCGGATCTGCGTCCGGGTCGGAGAAGCCGCAGAACTCCTGGCTGCTGCTGTTCGACTCGCCGCCATTCGTCATGGGAGCGGGCGTGGGCGTGGGATTGGGTGTTGGGGTGGGTGTGGGTGCGGGTTTCGGGACTGCCAACTTAGAGGCCGCCGATGGCACCTTCTCCTCGAGCACCGCACGCACCTTGTGTTTGGGCGAGCACAGGTTCTTGATGGTCAGCTTGGGCAGGGGCTGCAGCTGTTCCAGCTTGGACGCCGGATCGTCCTCGAGCAGATCAATGGACTTGGTCTTGATCGTGAGCTTGGGGATGCTCTGGGCGTTGTTCAGATCGTGCGTCATGATGACCGTGTGCACATGCTCCTGACCGCCGCCACCGCCGCCCGTCTTGATGGTTAACTTTGGTATCTGCTGCTGCTGGTGCGGATGCGGATGCTCCTCGCTGCTGCTGATGCAGCTGCTGCCGGCCAGTGTTGTCTTTATCATCAGCTTGGGCACCGTCTGCATCTCCGCCAGAGAGCTCGACGATGACGATGAGGAGGAGGACGATGCAGACGAAGACGAGGCGGAGGCGGGCGAGAGACTGGATAGATGGGCATCGTTCTTGGCGGGCATTGTTGATTGGGCGCCACCACTCACTGCCGACGAGCACGATCCGGAGTTGGAGGACCCGGAGGCAGCTGGGTTCTCGGGCAACTTGATGGTCAGCTTGGGCACCACGCTGCCCACGCGCCTCTCATTGGCGGCTCGGATGGTCAGCTTTGGCACTATGTGCGGGGTGTTACGCAGGTGTTGGCCGAGCGTGCTTACCACCTCGTCCTCTGCGCACGACGAGGAGCAGGAGGAGGCGTCCGCGTCGAAGGCGTCCTGCGGCTTGGCCAAGGCTCCTTCCCCACCGCCGCCACCGCAAGGCAGCTGGATGCGCAATGGCTCCACCCGCCTCTCGTCGCCACCCGACTGAGATTCATTTGGGTTTGAGTTCGGATTGGCGGCGTGCTTGGAGAGCTTCAGGATGATCTTGTGTCCGTCCCGCTCCTCGCCCTCAACCTCGAGCGCCGTGGCAGCCATGGCTCCACCTGCTGTTCCTGCTGCTGCTTGTCCGGATGCGGATGCGGATGCTGATGCGGATGCTGCGCTGACCGATGCAGATGCTCCAGTTGTGCTTGGGGCATCGTCGCACGGCGTCGGCGGTGGCTGCGTCGGCGGAGGCGACGCTGTGGTGCTGGTTATATGGCCAGGCTGGTTGTGCTGGCGCTGCAGGGCCTCTTCCCGCTGCTGCTGTGGCTCCTGCTCTTGCTCCCGCTCCCGATCCTGATCCCGATCCCGATCGGCATTCAGCTGTTGATCCCGATCCCGCTGGGCTGGCGACGACGTGGAGCTAACGCGCTGCTCCTCCTCGCTCGTGCTGCTGGCTGCCACTGACTTTGGGTTAGAGTTGCTGGCGGTGGAGTTGGGCTGGAGGCGACCTGCTGCTCCGGCTGATCCTGCTGTGGACGTGGCGGCTGCCGATTCTACCGCTGTTCCCGATTCCGATCCTGATGACGATGTCGCTGCTACCATCTGCTGCTGACGTAAATCATTCATTTCTATATTCGATTGTCCAGTGGCCGGCAGCCTGCAAGGATAAGCGGAATTTCTGTTCAGAAGCGGAGTATGATTATGATTCTTATGATTAGCTTCAAGTTCTGATAACAGAGCTTTTCAACCTGCATCAAAATTTACTTCTATTCATTTGAGTGAAATCCCTCTTTTATATATTTATTTATGTTGCTTTATTTCGTGTTAACTCGGAAAATGTATCTGATATAAGTACGACGCACATTTTCCCTTTTTTCTTGGAAGTCAAGATATTGACTCTATTACAAGGTTATGCCTGAATACGGATTGAATTTAACAGATTAAACAAAAATTGTAATCCTATTTGTTTGAAGGATTACCTTATGTATGTTTTATATTAAATAGAAGACTTTTATTTATCCTTTCTGTTAATTTTATCCAAATCTTTTCTTGTGACACCAGAACTTTTGCTTCTACGAGAAATAAAGTTATGATCATATTTCATTTGACAGAATCCCCCAGACTAGATTATATAGAATGTACACCTACTATTGAGTACATATTGGTGCAAGTTTCAATTGCCTGGGGAGGGCGAAATTGAAACATTAGTCCCAATTGCAGATGCCGATACAAATGTAATGTATATATTACATGTACATCGTCAAAAGAATCCTAGCGAAATTCGTCTATGTCTACACATGTTTTTGTGTAATTTCCGACCCAAGGGACGGATTTTGTTTAGATTGAGAGGAGACAAAATAAAAGGGGAACGACCTACACATATACACTTGCACATTCGACACACGCACACACACGCTTTGGAGCTCGATGAAAGAAAATTGGAAGAAAGCCGGACAAAGTTAGAGATCTAATTTTAGCACATGTCCAAATTATTACTCCGTAATTGCATCCAAGGGAAGCGCAGATTAAGGCGGTCACCCAGATTCCAGGGAAGAATCTCCTCGGCCCCGAGAAAAACTATCGCTCGAAATTGCCGCGAAAACTCCGAGCGGAATAACAACAACACTTAATAAATAATAAGCGCTGCAAACATGCGCACACAGCTGTCGATTGGGGAGAAAGATGAGGACGAAGCGGAATGGCGGAGAGCGCAAAAGAGAGCGAAGCAGCGGGAATAGGCAAATGCTGAGAAAGCCGCGCCGCCACGAATTATGGCCCGTTTTCTGGTGTGTGTTGGCAACACTGTCGCGCACGGTTCGGAATCCACCACGCTGGCTTGCGAACCCACCATAGCAGTCGCCGCTGCATGGAGAAAACACACACACACACAAGTGCAGGGGCTATGTATGTATTTAACTGACCAAATGCAAGCGCATCAGCAGTATTATTACATTCACACGATTTTGTGGGCCCCAAAAGCTTCGAGCGCAACATGAATGTCAACTAACTAACGAAGACGACGACGACGCCGAAACCCTGACCCAACCACCAACAGCAACAACAACAATAACGGGATAAGAAGCAGCGGCAAGCAAACGACAAACTCACCATGCGGCAAAGTCGTCGCTCAGAGTCAGACAAAAGAAGATGGAGTAGAAGAGCGCCTGCTTTGGGTTTGCGTGCACAATTCGCGATTCGAGCTCATATTTCTTATTTCTCTGCTTTGGCTGCGACTGCAACAGCAAATGCACTTTGATTGCGCTGTGTCTTTATGCGTTCTGTGGCGTTGGTCGAGGAATAAAACACATTTTTCGAATCGAATCGAAGCACTGGCACACGCACACACTCGCAGCGCCACGGCACACACAAACACAACACACACACAACAGAACGGACACAGACACAGACCGTTGTCCCACTTTCCGTGTATTGGTTTCGTTTCGTACGTTTCGTACACTTTTCCACGCACTTTTAACGATTCGGTACAGCAGAGGGACAACGCATTTAACGCTCGCAAACCTCAAAAAAATATCCTCCACTTGGGCAACGGCAAACGCACGCACGATTCATACGCAGACTGGTTCGGCGCGCGTCGAAGTCGAACGTTCTTATGCATTCATTATTAAATGGTATGCTCTGCTTCGCCTGTCTGCTTATGTTTTTTTCTTTTCGATTCCGAGGTACGGTACTCGTCACGACGAATGAAAATCAGTGTGACCGCCGCCGTGCTGCTAACTAATACCACTGGCTCCGAGAAAACCACTAAAAAAAACACGGATGCCAAAGCATACTAGCGATGCCACGAACCAGGTGGGAAACCTGGATGCAATTACTTGCAGTTGGGCAAAACATGTTTGCTAGCAAAAAGTTTTAGACCATCGATAGCTCATTAAAAACAGTATAATTTGGTTGGAGGCAACGCTAGCTTGGAGACTATTTATTTTTGTTCTGAACCAAGAACTAAAAAAAAAGATATAAGTTTTGCATTACACTTTCATATATGAATTACAGTTAAATTCAAATATTCTTTAAATAAAAAACCACCATGAATTTGTTGTTATATACTGCGGTGGTGTATTTTAAATTAATGATTTTGTAGTCTGATCACCAATTTTTTTTGTAGTTCCCCAAAAGTCAAAAAGGAAGAAACATCGATATAAGTGGTTATAGTCATGTGTAGGTAATACCTATATACGCATGAAAAAAAACGTTTTTTTCAAAAGCTTAATGCAACAACTCAGTAAACAATTTTTCAATTGTCATCAAACCCGAAGGCGACTTCGCATACGTTTCCCATTCATAATAATGCAGATTGTATGTGCCAGTTGAGATGTAACCATATACTTGTACCTAGGTACAATTTTAGCCTTTTTAGGTTCTGAAATATTTGTATTTATTTTTGTTTTTAAATTAGCATGATACCACTAAGTAAACTTTTGTATTATTTTCGCAAATATGCAAATAAAAATAGCATAGTTTCACTACAACTTGAAGAAAAGTTAATTCCAATGCTGGATATAATTATGTTCATTTTTTTTACAACCGAACTTAGCTGCCAGAGCGTATCATAATATAATCCATTCTCCAAATTACTGGAGGAATATCAAACATTCGAAATCCATTTCGATTGACAGTTATTGCCGCTGGGCACATTTTTCTGTTAGCTATTCAATTTTGAAAAGTTTTTGCCAGTGTGACCAATAAGTTTAAAACAACCTATTGGCACTTATGCGTAAACATGTGTTTAATTTATTGCCAGTTATGTTTTTTGGTTAATGACAATTTATTTGGAGTATAGCTAATCATAAAACTTAAAAATTTTTGGCCAACACAACATAAGCTCTTCAGCAGCAAAGCGGTATTTTCAGTGTGTTTTGTATCTGGCCACACTGTTTGGCACACACAACATCTGCATCTCAAAAAGTGTTATTTTGTCCTCCTTGTTTTTCTTTTTATGCAGAACCCCAATCGAATAAGTGTCAACGATAAACTGCATCCGAATCCAATTTTCAAGCCGAAACTTTTGCAGACCTTGGTTGCGTGCAGCGGAAAACCGCCGGAGTTTTAGTTAAACAAGAAACAACGAAGGACGCAAAAGTCCGGCGAAAGTTCAGAGCCACATATTTGTATTTGCAAGCTTCCAAAAGTCAAAGCCTCGTGATGAGTGCGCAGCCTAGTCCGCTGATGAATCCCCAGCAGCAGCAGCAACAGCAACAGCAGCAGCAGCAGAGCGAACAGGAGAAGGTAAGCCAGTGCACAATTCGGTGTAGCCCTTGCTGACTGCTCCATTTCCCAATTCTACACCAGGTGTACCAATGGATCAACGAGCTGGCCCATCCGGACACCCGGGAGACCGCCCTGCTGGAGCTGAGCAAGAAGCGGGAGACCGACCTGGCCCCCATGCTGTGGAACAGCTTCGGCACCGCCTGCGCCCTGCTGCAGGAGATAGTCAACATATATCCCTCGATAACGCCGCCCACACTGACGGCACACCAGTCGAACCGCGTGTGCAACGCCCTGGCCCTGCTGCAGTGCGTCGCCTCGCATCCGGAGACGCGCACGGCCTTCCTGCAGGCGCAGATACCACTTTACTTGTACCCCTTCCTCTCGACCACTTCCAAGACCAGGCCCTTTGAGTATCTGCGTCTCACCAGTCTCGGCGTCATTGGAGCACTGGTCAAGGTGGGTGTATTGACTGTAGACTGTAGACTGCGCTAAATGTGTTCCGACTAATGTTCCGACTCATTCCCCGCAGACCGACGAACAGGAGGTGATCACCTTTCTGCTGACCACCGAGATCGTGCCCCTCTGCCTCAGCATCATGGACAGCGGTTCGGAGCTGAGCAAGACCGTGGCCACCTTCATCATCCAGAAGATACTGCTCGACGAATCTGGGCTGTCGTACATTTGCCAGACCTACGAACGCTTCTCGCACGTGGCCATCACCTTGGTAGGTGTTTGCTTTGCTGACACCCTCAACGTTTTACTGAGCGCCTCCTCCAATTTCAGGGTAAAATGGTCATCCAGCTGTCGAAGGACCCCTGTGCCCGTCTGCTCAAGCATGTGGTGCGCTGCTATCTACGCCTCTCGGACAACACTCGGTACGTTGGTTGATGACCGCTTAATGCTTGCCCTGTAAACGTAACCATATTCCCTTTTAGCGCTCGCAAAGCGCTGGGCCAGTGTCTGCCCGACCAACTGCGAGACGGCACATTTGCGCTGTGCCTGCAGGACGACAAGTCCACCAAGCAGTGGCTGCAAATGCTACTCAAAAACCTGGAGCTGGGCGCCACCCCGCAACAGATCGGAATGTCGCCGCTGGGTTCCTAGAAAGTATTTCGAGTATTGCTTAGGCCTTAGGCATCTGCGAGGCCTCGGCATCCCCACGATCTGCAAGCCCCATCGATGAGTGAGCCAGCCAGCCCCGTCTCGACCGAATATAATTAATAAGCTTGCACGAGATTGCCTGAGTTTAGCCTAAGCAGAGCTGTAATATAACTATACATATATACCGTAAAGTAATGTTTAAAGTAAGATCGTCACTGATAGCAAATAAAGAACCTCATGCAGACGACGCACCGTTTATGTTTATCACGTATTATAAGTTCCAGCCGAAGCTGGCAACGAAGACATGGACAAGTAGCCGAGCCCTAATTTCAATAAAAATTATATTTACAATGAATTCTCATTTCTCTATTTTTTTAATACATTTATAGAATAGCTGATTTTAAGTTATATGTGCATATACATATATTCTTTTTGTTTTCTTTGTCTATGTAAATTGAACATTCCTCGAATGAAACCAATTTATATGTATATAATAAACAAATATTTACAAATTATTTACAATTAAATTAACTATTTTTAAATCCATTAAATGGGATTTCCCCAAAAAATCAATATTTGAGCAATAAACTGCCGCTCCCTTTAATCTTAAAACAATTTATTTAATACCTCGCGAATTTTGAGGTGTAAACAAACTTGTTTAAATGCGCAAAAAGCAGAAAGCACCTCCTTTCCTTCTTGCTCTTGCTGACGCACCATACACCGGCTTCGAGTGCCATCCTTTTCTAGTTGGTGCCGGAATGCACTGATCACACCTCACCCCACCGAAAACCCAATGAAATACAAGCGAGTGCAGTAACGGCAAAACACACATTCAAATGCATATAATATGGACACTCATATACAGCTTGCGATAATTTCAATTACAACAAGATACAATATACACACACATGGAATAAACATTAACAGCCGCAGCCCAAAATTGACCCCTTGAACTGGCGCACCTTCTCACAGGCTCTGAAATTGTACTGTTTTAGACACGTGTTTTGCAGGTTTAAGTCCTGCCACATACATAGGTCCACTTAGCATACTTAGCATAGACGGTGCAATAAAAAGGGGGGAGCTTTAAACGATAAAACAGACCAGACCATATGGATGAAACAACGATGATGGGATGGGGATGCGGATGCGGATAGGTATGGCTATGGGGATGCGGATTCAAGGCCTACACGAGTTGCAGTCGACATCGTAAAACCGTATATTTAAAATGATGTATTTCGATTTTTTTCTGCGCTCTTACAAATCTTGATTTACCAATTTGGATATACTTGCTCGATCTTTCTAAAATCCCTTGCCCTAAAGAACTAGCGTTCTTGATTCGCTGAAGAATTCAGTCATAACACTACAAGGTATATAAGTTCTATTGATCTTGCTGGTTTCACTTGATCTTCTCCTAAAGAATTTGCGTTCTTATTTCGTTGAGAAATTCATTTTTAACTTTGCGTGACTAAAGTTACAAAGTATGTATATTAGCGCATTTAGGTCCTTCTTGTTCTGAAGAATTCCCGATTGACTTCCAAGGCAAAAGTGAGAAATGAGTTTGGCTATGTGGTTCGTACGGTTCTAGGATGCCAGTCAAAGCAACTACATACTCGTCTAGGCCTCCAAATGCGGATACATGCCTCCTTAGTTCGGTGACTTGGTCGGTCCGGCGACCGCCGAGGCCCGCCGGGCCGTCACCTCCGGAGCGTCGACTTTGGTGTCCGGATCCCCGCCACCAACCGCATCCCGATCACTTGAGACCTGCGGGGTCTGCAGCTGCGGCAGGGCCAGCATCTGGTCCATCAGGTCGAAGCCGCTCTTCCACACCAGCAGCTGGGCGCGCAGCTTCAACTTGCTGCGGTTGCGCAGCAGGTGCTTCTCCATGGCGAATCCTTTGCGGGCGCAGGCAAAGTCGCAGGCCCGCTGGCGCAGCACGGGGCAGATGTCGTTGTTGCCGTCGCCCACATAGAAGACGTGGTCGTAGCGGATGCTGCGCCGCAGGTCCTGCTCGATGACGAAGTGCTCGAGGACGCGGCCCTTGCACAGATTGCTGGCGCTCAGCTTGCAGTCCGTCTGCTGGTGATGGGGGCGGACCATCAGCTGCCCGGAGGCGTCGAATTCCGCCGGATTGGTGAAGACGGCCACGAAGCAGTCGGCCAGGTTGTGCGCCCGCAGCCACTCCTCGATGAAGACGCTGTTCGAGTCGCTAATGATGATCAGGTCGTAGTGCAGCCGCTTGGCCAGGTGCTTGATGAGCCGCACGAACCCCGGCACCTCGGGAATGCCGCGAATGGTGTCCCGGATGCGCGCCTCCGGCACCTGTTGCTCGTGCAGCAGGCGAAACACCTCGGCCATGTACTCCGTCCAGCAGTCGTTCTCCACGAGCTCGTTGGCCCGGGCGCTGGTCACCTCCGTGGGCAGCAGGTCGCGCACCACGGTGTCCGTGTTCTGCGAAACGATCGTGTGGTCGAAGTCGAAGGCCGCCAGGCGACGGCGCTGCTGCTTCTTCAGTTTGCAGCTGGCCACGGCCTCGGCCACCGCGGCGGAGGACTGCTGCTTCGAGGACATTTGGTGTGGGCGCAGCTCCGAGCGAGTTCAGTTCCAGTTCGAGTTCGAGTTCGAGGACATCGCGATGCTCCGGGGATGCGTGTGAGTGTGACCGTAGCTCGCTCAGCTCACGTACGCTGGAATCAGTGCTGCCGTGCTGCTGAGCTGCCCCATGAGACAGATTCGTGGGGCTACAAATTAAAATAAATAAATTATGAAAAAAAGCTATAGCTAACTGATTAAAGCATACAAAAAACAATAGGCTTTAAAATCATAATAACTAAACAATTCAAAATATATAATATCTGTTTTTCAACAAACTAAATTAAGAGCTACAACTCATGTTTTGTATGTTAAAGGTGTTAATATACGACTCTAAAAGTTATATTTTATTATACATATAAAGTTTATTATACATATAAAACAGATACAAGATATATTTAAAAAAGCAATTCACACGACTTTCGTTACATTATACTTATTATCCAATTCACTTAAATTTATAGCCTTGCTTGAATATTTAATTTGGACCTAAACATATGATAGATTTACGGCTTTTAAATTTTAATAAGCTATTCAATTTTCAAGTATGGATAGATCTAGCCTGAAATATGCTAAGCTGGCAACACTAGCTGGAATGAAACGGAAAATTAATACCAAAAGAATCCAATTGGCATTTCAAGTATACCGTTAAGTATGGAATACATTCAAAGGCCGAACCGAGAGTAGTTTTGCATATACCATGTAAAGTGGAGTAAGAAAGCTCGAAAATCGAATTGGTAAATTAGTAGTATTCAGTGTTTTCACTCAAAGCTCTTAGTTGTTCATAGAAACCTTCTTAATAGAAAACAATACATCATCATTGAGACCGGTTAAGTCGCCAAATAGCTATATTATAATATATAGATTTTAATGAATTTCAAATATACCGTTACATGTCAAAAAGGGAAAGAAATACATTCAAAGGCTGAAGCGGGAAAACCCTTTGCAAGCGACATGTAAAATGACTTGAATCCGGAAAAATTCAAATCTGGCTATAAAAAAGACAAGTTCTGCAGCCCTGCGAGTGACAGCTTGGCTGCAATGCAACCCTAACGTTTGACACTTTGACGTGGACACGAACAACAAACGAACAGACACGGCAGCAAACGATTCTAGCTCATTTAAGTGGAAATTTTCGATCAAAGCGGAGGTGTGTGTGTTTTTTTTTCAGCTCTTACTGCTCAAGTGTAATTTGTCAATTAAAATACCAAGTGAATGAACAAAGACCTCAAGTCCAACAACCAGCAGAGGTTTAATTTCCTTCTGCTAATTGTAGATTTTCGGCTTTGCACTTTGTACATTTCCACTGCTCTTTTATAGTTTATCTGGGCAGTTAGTTTAGTCTACCTATTAATGCTTACAATTGTATTAGCTGGGAGAATAAAGGAAAAACAGAGTGGAGTAACTGCTATTTCGGTGAATGGCGCCACCGGATTTCACCTGTGACGTCGCCGTCTGTTTGCCACGTCACAGCTTAAGTTGCTGTGAAAGTGCCCCACTGCCGATTGCAGATTGCCGATTGCCGATCACTGATCCCCACTTTCCCCTCTCTCTCTCTCTCTCTTTGCAGAACCCGAACCCAGCAAATTTCACAAGACATGGACAAGGTTGTTAAATTCGCCGAGCCAGGACGCGTCTTCGCCAAGGACTCGATCCGTCTGGTCAAGCGCTGCACCAAGCCCGACCGCAAGGAGTTCCAGAAGATCGCCATCGCCACCGCCATCGGCTTCTGCATCATGGGCTTCATCGGCTTCTTCGTCAAGCTGATACACATCCCCATCAACAACATCATCGTGGGATCCTAAGTCCAAGGAACCTGGCGACTGCAGATTCAAATCATCCATTCTAGCATATTTCAGATAAATTTTTTCGTTTAGTAAACATGCATTATATAGATAGAGAGAAACTATGTGCATTCAGCGAATGTCTTGATTACAAAATTTTCATACATGTGAAAACGTATTGTAAATTTTCAAAATTCCATTAATAACTCTTTGTTGAGGTGCATGAACAAGTTAGTTATTAAGATCCAATTGTAAAAATGATGAACCATACACGTTTCCATAGCATTTGTTGGGGGCTTGTAGACCCGTTAATAAATGTCAAATCGATTTTCCAAATAAAAATGTCATTCTTTTAACTAGGGGTTTTAAATAATATGTCAAGTCTGTACTGTCCCTTTCAAAATGTTTGTCGCATTGATAATTCACACTAATGAATACCTAAAATGTTAAGGTTCTATCATCATTGCATAATACGAGTTTTGTAGTCAAATGAGATTCACTTTAATTATTTGAATTTACATGTAATTAAATTGTTTTATTAGAAATAGTAAAACATTTTAGTTTGTGTGCTATGTGTATGTGCCTATCTTAAAGATATTCATATATATAAATATTTATATTTTAATAAAAAATATGCAATGCCATTTATGCGAAAATTGAATAACTATAGCAATCTGTTCCTGAGACGACATCCACAAGTTTTTGGCTAACAACCACAGGTCCACAAAAGTCCGCCAGACACACCACTTGTTTATAGGATCGGACGATAATATGAAACTGATAATAATAGTCCTATACACGCACGTAGAGGCCTTGAAGATTTATAGGATTTGAAAACACCGGGTAGCCATTATAAGTAGACGATTCTAATGATAGTCCTCAACCGGAAACCATTGCATATATTCCAGGAGCAGGATTCTTCTTGGCCAAAGGAATACTCTCTACTTTGTTCGTGAAATTAAGAGGCTCACTCAAGCGCAAGAAGGCGTTATATCGTTGACATAAAATTCTCTTAAGATCTTATGGCGGCCACTTTGACAAGGGTTCCTTTCGAGTTTTTCAATGACGATCCCACACGAAATCTTTGCCCTAATTGAAAATTCAACATTTTATTTATTGGGATGGAAATGTTTGTACATTTTTATGCCCTCGTTTATTAAAGGTATAAGGTAGTGAAACATTTTTAGGTTTGCTTATATGAGTCTATCGTAATGACATTTATATTTTTGATATAGTTTAACATTCAAAACTTTTGATTAAATAGATGCAATGGCATTTAGAATCCAGGGTCGAAAGAAAGGAACACTTTCATAGACTGTAAAACCATCACAAAATGCAGGCCCTTTTGAGACGACACCCACAAGTTCTTGGTTAACAACCAATGGTCCACCAGAGTCCATAAAACATGCCGATTGTCCATAAGTTCCGGCGCAAATATTACTCTCCGACATAGACAAAATCTCACTACAATAGCTCCAATTTCGTATATTATGGTATACGCCGTGAAGATTTATAGGATATGATAACACCGGATAGCCATTATGTGAAGGTAATACTGATGTTGCTCCCCAGCCGGAAACCATTGCAACTGTTCCAGGAGCAGGATTCCTCTCGGCCAAAGGGATACTCTTGACTTTGTCGGTGAAATTAAGAGGTTCACTTAATCGCATGACGGCAATGTCTTTGGTGAAATTTGTACTGTTATAATTCTCGTGAGACCTTATGGCGGCCACTTTGACAAGGGTTCCTTTGGAGTTCGACAACGACGAGCCCACGCGAATAAGAAAATCTTTGGCCTCCAGTCGGCGTTCTTTTTCATAAAGGCAATGGGCAGCAGTTATGATAATATCCTTGGTGTAAATAGAGCCTCCACAGCTGTGTTCCCCATTCACTTGTAGGGACACCTGCCAAGGAGCCTGTTCTATTTCAATGTTCTGCCCACCGATAATCCTTTCCTCCGGTCGGGAAACTCGTCCTGCAGACAGGAAACCAATTGCCAATAGCAGTAGAAAACTCTGGATGAACATCTTCACTGGCTTGGTTAGGACTTTGGATCACAATGTCTGAACTACCGACGGAGCAAGTATTTTATATGCCATGGCCTGTAAGGTTCTTCAGTTATTTCTAAATTTAGCACAAGTTTCAACGTGGGGAATGCTAATCATTATTCCGTTTCCTGCTAATATGGCTTACTCCCTTAAAGATAAGAAAAACGTAAATTACAGAAACCAATTAGACTTAATAAAGTCACAACTCTTACTTATTTGAAAAAGAAATTAATATTTATATTCATTGTTGTGGACTAAATTTAGCACAAGAAGTGAATTTTTTTTTAATAATTTTTACTGTTTCCATGGAAGCTTTATGTTATAGTCGTCCGATTTTGATTAAATTTAAACCGTAATTCTGAAATATTTAACCATTACTAAATGTCGAAGAACTAAAAAAGAAAATTAACAAACAGCAACGTTATAATTTTTTTTCATTTATTTTTTCGATTGTTCCTGTGGGAGCTATATGCTATAGTCGTCCGATTTTGATGAAATTTAAACCGTAATTCTGAAATATTTAACCATTACTATATGTCGAAGAAATAAAAAAAAATTAAAAAACAGCAAAGTTATAATTTTTTTTTTTTTTTTTTTGATTGTTCCTATGGGAGCTATATGCTATAGTTGTCCGATCCGGCTCGTTTCGACTACTATATACTACCTGCAATAGAAAGACAACTTTTGGGAAAGTTTCATGCAGATAGCCTTAAAACTGAGAGACTAGTTTGCATAGAAACGGACGGACAGACGGACGGACAGACAGACGGACATGGCTAGATCGACTCTGCTAGTGATCCTGATCAAGAATATATATACTTTATAGGGTCGGAGATGTCTCCTTCACTGCGTTCCAAACTTCTGACTGAAATTATAATACCCTCTGCAGGGGTATAAAAATCATACGTTTTTGTTGACCCGTGAATATCAAATTGATACTGGTAATTTTTTTCTGTGTCTTAAGCTTCCTTAGGAGCACACGGAAAATACATACATGAAATAAATATATACTATATTATTTTATATATATTATTTTATTCAAATTAAACAAATATACTCCGAGATTGTTTACTATTATAGAACTACGGATTTAATTTTATAAATATCGGCCAACAACTGTCATATAGCTTCCATAGAAAGGATTAAAAGATTAATGGGAAAATAAACTATTCGCATACAAATCAAAATTAAGACGTTCTGTAGAATATTTTTTTTATTAGCTTCCAGGCTCCTTTTCTTGTTTTAGATTAATATATTGCTTTACAACTTTGCTAATTTACTTTTTTGTAACAAATTTAATTCTCGCTTTGTTTTAACTGCTTACGAGTTTCTGAGTCACTCAGTTAAATATTAAATGTAAAGCAAGGACCGCACCTCTATAATTCATATCTTTTGTATTAAACAAGTAAATGGGTATAATTAATGAAACACATTGAATCCTTGCCAAAAATTGCAAAATTGTTAAGCAACATATGAGCCAATAAAATTAAAAAAATAACCTTGTCCACGTCCTTAAAGCTATATTGTTGTCACTTCTTGTGCCAAATATAGTCAAAATCATTATAGAATTAGTAATTAGTAAGCATTCCTGTTCTAAATATAGTCTAATAGGTTTCGATATTTTAAATGTGTCTTATCTTAGGGGACTAAGCAATGTTTGCAGAATACGAAAAAATTACTGGAATTCCCCACGCTGAAACTGAAGAACCTTACAGGCCATGGCATATAAAATACTTGCTCCGTCGGTAGTTCAGACATTGTGATCCAAAGTCCTAACCAAGCCAGTGAAGATGTTCATCCAGAGTTTTCTACTGCTATTGGCAATTGGTTTCCTGTCTGCAGGACGAGTTCCTCGACCGGAGGAAAGGATTATCGGTGGGCAGAACATTGAAATAGAACAGGCTCCTTGGCAGGTGTCCCTTCAAGTGAATGGGGAACCCCATTGTGGAGGCTCTATTTACAGCAAGGATATTATCATAACTGCTGCCCACTGCCGTTTTGATAAAAAAAAACGTCGACTGGAGGCCAGAGATTTCCTAATTCGCGTGGGCTCGTCGTTGTCGAACTCCAAAGGAACCCTTGTCAAAGTGGCCGCCATAAGGTCTCACGAGAATTATAACAGTACAAATTTCACCAAAGACATTGCCGTCATGCGATTAAGTGAGCCTCTTAATTTCACCGACAAAGTCAAGAGTATCCCTTTGGCCGAGAGGAATCCTGCTCCTGGAACAGTTGCAATGGTTTCCGGATGGGGAGCAACATCAACATATGCAAAGTACTCATATCCGGTTCACCTTCACGGCGTAGACGTCCTTATATTAAGGGTTGATCAGTTTTTCATTTTTGCCGGATCATATGGACAAACGACTTGTTATGGTGACTCTGGTGGACCATTGGTTGTAGACCAACAACTTGTGGGTGTCGTTTCGGCAGGATATACATATTGCGATGGTCGTACACAATACATAAGTGTATCTGACGAAAGGAGCTGGCTTTTAAATGCCATTGCATCTATTAAATTATAAGATCGAATGTAAATGAATATCAAAATATTAAACCAGTTAAAAAAAAATAAAAATAAAGGATTTCAATGATACTGTGTTGAAGCATCTTGGGAGCATAACTATTTGAGTTTTACTTGTACGAATTATCAGCACTAGTCCCAAGCTTCACAAACAATCATAGAAGACATTGCTACCATAAAAAAGAGGCCTTTAATATGTGGAAAATCAAAACAACATTTGTTGGCTATGAAAACGGTTCATAGTTTTTAGTGGATCTAACATGGAGTTATGAGAGGAATTCAAATAGCTCTGAAACTACTGAACATTTAAAAATTATGTTTTATACTTTATACTTGCAGTTCAATTTAAGCCTATATAATACACTTTAATCAATATTAAATAAGGATGCGTTTTTCAGAGGCCTCCGCCAAACTACGAACCTGTGCACACTGGTTGGGCTTGTATGGAGCCGCGGCAATAAATATTTCCCCGTTGAGATATCGTTATGAAATTTTCCTCAAAAATCTAAAAAATATTGAGAATATAGAGTAAAAAAATTGGCTACATCGGAAGCCTCTATCTTATAGCTCACATAGCACCTTAGTATGGCTTGTATGGCGATGGTGCGCAAAGATACTTCCAGTTAAGTCACAGTGCTGAGATGTCATTATTAGAGTGATATTGAACAATTAAACTCTTGATATGCTTGTATTTAGTCCAAAAGGTAATAATTTTTTTGCAAGTATATGTAACTAATGCAGTTCTTAAGTGTCATCATGTCAACTGCGTATCCCTTGTTCTTAATGCTCTCTTTTACCAAAGTAGTCACTCTTCGAGTTTTATCGCCATTTTTGCCCTCTTCTGTGCACCAAAGATAAAAAATGTACATGCGTGAAAATTCGCAGTTACAAGAAGAGCCTATAGAAAACGATAACATACAAATGAGCGAAAAAAAGAATATCCAAAATTGTCTACAAACACAAATGACGAACACAAAAGAAACATCACAAAAGCAAAGGAAGAGCAGCAGACTGTGTAGCAAATTTGAACCTGAAACAGTAAGAAACAGTAAGTATATTAATGAATACACACAAATTAGCAAGTATTAGCAGCTACACTTAACGTTTTTATTGCCTTCAAACATTGACAAATACACTGATAACACTCCTAAAGGGGGATCGGGGGTAACATACATATATAAAAGTCTATTTAAACATGAAAATGACGTTCACATAATAAATAAATAAAGGATCAATAATCAAACATACACAAAAAATAACAAATCGAACAGATTAATTTCACAAAAATAACTTAGTAAAGTAAATACCTGAAACTTTAAAGTTCTTTTTAAATAAACTAATTCGGACCTCTCTTGCGAACGTTTGACCACTTTGAAGTGCAACTTTGTTTTGACGAAATGCTAAAGTAACGGCGCTGCACTGCAAAATCGAACAAGTGTTCACGCTTTGCGTTCTATTTTTAGAAAATCCCGTTAGATTTCCAGAAAAATCCGGTTTGCCATTAAGAAGCTTGGTAATTTTTGAAACAATTTGTATACTTATCGATAATTTTTGGTACTGTCGATTTTTTTAATTTTGGCCTATGGGCGCAACCACAGTGCTGTGGGCCGATTGTCGCACAGGTTGCTCCAGTCGGGGACGTGCTCGCTCTTCAGATACGTCTCCTTGACCAGCGACCTTGTCTGGATGAGATCCGTGGCCCCGCACAGGGCGCCACCCAGCCAGGCGGTGAAGTTCTGCTTGCCAATGGCATTGAAGAACTTGAACTGCAGCTTGCCGTGGAAGCGCTCGGCGTAGAAGGGATCCTTGGCGAGCAGGTGCTGCAGCTCCTGGCGAAGTCGGGCCAGCAGGCCCTGGACCATGGAGCCGCCGCCCACGAGGAACACACTCTCGACCAGAGCACGCCTCACGTCCAGGGTGCAGTCGAGGATGGAGCGCAGGATGAGGTGCGCCAGGCTGTCCCGCTCGTTGCTAGCCTCAAACATGATCTCGTAGACGGTTTCCCGCATTTTTTTAGTTCTTCGACATTTAGTTATGGTTTAATATTTCCGAATTACGGTTTAAATTTAATCAAAATCGGACGACTATAACATAAAGCCCGAATGAAAACAGTAAGAAAATATGACTTATTAATAATTTGACAGTTCAGAATTACCGTTTTAATTTTATTAAAATCGGAAAACGATATCATATAGCTGCCATAGAAACTAGCGATGCTTCAATGCTTTTAAACATAAATGAAAGTAAATCAGCTAACCTAAAGTAAATCATAATTAAAATGCTTTCAAGAAAATTTAATTTTTGCAATAGTTGCAAGGGTATATGAACTTAAAAGTTCAGTAGTTTCAGAGCTATTTGTTTAAATATTGAATTCCTCTCATAACTCCATGTTAGATCCACTAAAAACTATGAACCGTTTTCATAACCAACAAATGTTATTTTGATTTTCCACATATTAATGCCCTCTTTTTTATGGTAGCAATGTCTTCTAAGATTGTTTGTGAAGCTTGGGACTAGTGCTGATAATTCGTACAAGTAAACCCCAAATATGATAGTTATGCACCCAAGACGCTTCAACACAGTATCATTGAAATCTTTTTTTTTTTATTTTTTTTTACTGGTTTAATATTTTGATATTCATTTACAATCGATCTTATAATTTAATAGATGCAATGGCATTTAAAAGCCAGCTCCTTTCGTCAGATACACTTATGAATTGTGTTGGACCATCGCAATATTCAAATACTCCCGAAACGACACCCACAAGTTGTTGGTCTACAACCAATGGTCCACCAGAGTCACCAAAACAAGACGTTTGTCCATAAGATCCGGCAAAAAGGAAAAACTGATTAACACCTAATATAAGGACGTCTACGCCTTGAAGGTGAACTGGATACGAGAGCTTTGGATATGTTGATGTTGCTCCCCATCCGGAAACCATTGCAACTGTTCCAGGAGCAGGATTCCTCTCGGCCAAAGGGATACTCTTGACTTTGTCGGTGAAATTAAGAGGCTCACTTAATCGCATGACGGCAATGTCTTTGGTCAAATTTGTACTGTTATAATTCTCGTGAGACCTTATGGCGGCCACTTTGACAAGGGTTCCTTTGGAGTTCCACAACGACGAGCCCACGCGAATTAGGAAATCTCTGGCCTCCAGTCGACGTTTTTTTTTATCAAAACGGCAGTGGGCAGCAGTTATGATAATATCCTTGCTGTAAATAGAGCCTCCACAATGGGGTTCCCCATTCACTTGAAGGGACACCTGCCAAGGAGCCTGTTCTATTTCAATGTTCTGCCCACCGATAATCCTTTCCTCCGGTCGAGGAACTCGTCCTGCAGACAGGAAACCAATTGCCAATAGCAGTAGAAAACTCTGGATGAACATCTTCACTGGTTAGGACTTTGGATCACAATGTCTGAACTACCGACGGATCAAGTATTTTATATGCCGTGGCCTGTAAGGTTCTTCAGTTATTTCTAAATTTAGCACAAGTTTCAGCGTGGGGAATTCCAGTAATTTTTTCGTATTCTGCAAACATTGCTTACTCCCCTAAGATAAGACACATTTAAAATATCGAAACCTATTAGACTATATATAGAACAGGAATGCTTACTAATTACTAATTTTATAATGATTTTGACTATATTTGGCACAAGAAGTGACAACAATATAGCTTTAAGGACGTGGACAAGGTTATTTTTTGAATTTTATTGGCTCATATGTTGCTTAGCAATTTTGCAATTTTTGGCAAGGATTCAATTATACCCATTTACTTGTTTAATACAAAAGATATGAATTATAGAAGTACGGTCCTTGCTTTACATTTAATATTTAACTGAGTGACTCAGAAACTCGTAAGCAGTTAAAACAAAGCGAGAATTAAATTTGTTACAAACAAGAAAGAAAGCAAACTTCGGCAAGCCGAAGTTCATATACCCTTGCAGCTATTGCAAAAATTTAACATTTTTGAAAACATTAAAATTATGATTTACTTTCGTATATGTTTAAAAACATTGAAGCTATGATGATTTGCAGCTCAATTATTTGATAGTTATTTTATATATTTTTGTTATTTCTATGGGAGCTATATGATACAGTCGTCCGACTTTGATGAAATTTAAACCGTACATCGGATATATGTAACCATTACAAAATGTCGAAGAACTAAACAAAAAATTAAAAAACAGAAAAGTTATAATTTTTATACCCCTTGCAGAGGGTATTATAATTTCAGTCAGAAGTTTGCAACGCAGTGAAGGAGACATCTCCGACCCTATAAAGTATATATATTCTTGATCAGCATCACTAGCAGAATCGATTTAGCCATGTCCGTCTGTCCGTCTGTCCGTCCGTCTGTCCGTCTGTCCGTCCGTTTCTACGCAAACTAGTCTCTCAGTTTTGTCTTTCTATTGCAGGTAGTATATAAGTCGGAACGAGCCGGATCGGACGACTATAGCATATAGTTCCCATAGGAACAATCGGAAAAATAAATGAAAAAAAATTATAACTTTGCTGTTTCTTAATTTTTTGTTTAGTTCTTCGAAATAAAGTAATGGTTAAATATTTCAGAATTACGGTTTAAATTTCATCAAAATCGGACGACTATAGCATATAGCTCCCATAGGAACAATCGGAAAAATAAATGAAAAAAATTATAACGTTGCTGTTTTTTTAAATTTTTTTTTTTAGTTCTTCGACATTTAGTAATGGTTAAATATTTCAGAATTACGGTTTAAATTTAATCAAAATCGAACGACTATAACATAAAGCTTCCATGGAAACAGTAAAAATTATAAAAAAAATTTTTTATAATGTAACTTTTTTATTTTTTGTAATTTTTTTTTTAAATTAGTTTTGACTTATTAATAATTTGACAGTTCAGAATTACCCTTTTAATTTTATTAAAATCGGAAAACGATATCATATAGCTGCCATAGAAACTATCGATGCTTCAATGCTTTTAAACATAAATGAAAGTAAATCAGCTAACCGAAAGTAAATCATTAATGCTTTCAAGAATATTTAATTTTTGCAATAGCTGCAAGGGTATATGAACTTCGGCTTGCCGAAGTTTGCTTCCTTTCTTGTTACCATTGATTACCATTACCAGAAAAGTGTAAATTCGATATTAAAAACCACTTTCGCTCTTTATTAGAACTTCTTAGTTTTTGAAAAAGTTTCATAAAGGAAAATAAATGGTCATAGAAACCAATTGTTGCATGATTTTTAGACAGTATAGTATGAAAAATGAAAAACGGACAAACGTCTTTAGCGATGTTGATCATTAATATATATAGTTTATAGGTTCCGAAATGCCCCCTTCACAGCGTTGCAAACTTTCCACTGACTTATAATTAAAAAAAACCTTGTCTACGCCTTCAAAGATACATTGCTTTCACTTCTTGTGCTAAATTTAGTCCACAACAATGAATATAAATATTAATTTCTTTTTCAAATAAGTAAGAGTTGTGACTTTATTAAGTCTAATTGGTTTCTGTAATTTACGTTTTTCTTATCTTTAAGGGAGTAAGCCATATTAGCAGGAAACGGAATAATGATTAGCATTCCCCACGTTGAAACTTGTGCTAAATTTAGAAATAACTGAAGAACCTTACAGGCCATGGCATATAAAATACTTGCTCCGTCGGTAGTTCAGACATTGTGATCCAAAGTCCTAACCAAGCCAGTGAAGATGTTCATCCAGAGTTTTCTACTGCTATTGGCAATTGGTTTCCTGTCTGCAGGACGAGTTTCCCGACCGGAGGAAAGGATTATCGGTGGGCAGAACATTGAAATAGAACAGGCTCCTTGGCAGGTGTCCCTACAAGTGAATGGGGAACACAGCTGTGGAGGCTCTATTTACAGCAAGGATATTATCATAACTGCTGCCCATTGCCTTTATGAAAAAGAACGCCGACTGGAGGCCAAAGATTTCCTTATTCGCGTGGGCTCGTCGTTGTGGAACTCCAAAGGAACCCTTGTCAAAGTGGCCGCCATAAGGTCTCACGAGAATTATAACAGTACAAATTTGACATTGCCGTCATGCGATTAAGTGAGCCTCTTAATTTCACCGACAAAGTCAAGAGTATCCCTTTGGCCGAGAGGAATCCTGCTCCTGGAACAGTTGCAATGGTTTCCGGATGGGGAGCAACATCAACATATCCAAAGCTCTCGTATCCAGTTCACCTTCAAGGCGTAGACGTCCTTATATTAGGTGTTAATCAGTTTTTCCTTTTTGCCGGATCTTATGGACAAACGTCTTGTTTTGGTGACTCTGGTGGACCATTGGTTGTAGACCAACAACTTGTGGGTGTCGTTTCGGGAGTATTTGAATATTGCGATGGTCCAACACAATTCATAAGTGTATCTGACGAAAGGAGCTGGCTTTTAAATGCCATTGCATCTATTAAATTATAAGATCGATTGTAAATGAATATCAAAATATTAAACCAGTAAAAAAAAAAAAAAAAAAAAGATTTCAATGATACTGTGTTGAAGCGTCTTGGGTGCATAACTATCATATTTGGGGTTTACTTGTACGAATTATCAGCACTAGTCCCAAGCTTCACAAACAATCTTAGAAGACATTGCTACCATAAAAAAGAGGGCATTAATATGTGGAAAATCAAAATAACATTTGTTGGTTTTGAAAACGGTTCATAGTTTTTAGTGGATCTAACATGGAGTTATGAGAGGAATTCAATATTTAAACAAATAGCTCTGAAACTACTGAACTTTTAAGTTCATATACCCTTGCAACTATTGCAAAAATTAAATTTTCTTGAAAGCATTTTAATTATGATTTACTTTAGGTTAGCTGATTTACTTTCATTTATGTTTAAAAGCATTGAAGCATCGCTAGTTTCTATGGCAGCTATATGATATCGTTTTCCGATTTTAATAAAATTAAAACGGTAATTCTGAACTGTCAAATTATTAATAAGTCATATTTTCTTACTGTTTTCATTCGGGCTTTATGTTATAGTCGTCCGATTTTGATTAAATTTAAACCGTAATTCGGAAATATTAAACCATAACTAAATGTCGAAGAACTAAAAAAATGCGGGAAACCGTCTACGAGATCATGTTTGAGGCTAGCAACGAGCGGGACAGCCTGGCGCACCTCATCCTGCGCTCCATCCTCGACTGCACCCTGGACGTGAGGCGTGCTCTGGTCGAGAGTGTGTTCCTCGTGGGCGGCGGCTCCATGGTCCAGGGCCTGCTGGCCCGACTTCGCCAGGAGCTGCAGCACCTGCTCGCCAAGGATCCCTTCTACGCCGAGCGCTTCCACGGCAAGCTGCAGTTCAAGTTCTTCAATGCCATTGGCAAGCAGAACTTCACCGCCTGGCTGGGTGGCGCCCTGTGCGGGGCCACGGATCTCATCCAGACAAGGTCGCTGGTCAAGGAGACGTATCTGAAGAGCGAGCACGTCCCCGACTGGAGCAACCTGTGCGACAATCGGCCCACAGCACTGTGGTTGCGCCCATAGGCCAAAATTAAAAAAATCGACAGTACCAAAAATTATCGATAAGTATACAAATTGTTTCAAAAATTACCAAGCTTCTTAATGGCAAACCGGATTTTTCTGGAAATCTAACGGGATTTTCTAAAAATAGAACGCAAAGCGTGAACACTTGTTCGATTTTGCAGTGCAGCGCCGTTACTTTAGCATTTCGTCAAAACAAAGTTGCACTTCAAAGTGGTCAAACGTTCGCAAGAGAGGTCCGAATTAGTTTATTTAAAAAGAACTTTAAAGTTTCAGGTATTTACTTTACTAAGTTATTTTTGTGAAATTAATCTGTTCGATTTGTTATTTTTTGTGTATGTTTGATTATTGATCCTTTATTTATTTATTATGTGAACGTCATTTTCATGTTTAAATAGACTTTTATATATGTATGTTACCCCCGATCCCCCTTTAGGAGTGTTATCAGTGTATTTGTCAATGTTTGAAGGCAATAAAAACGTTAAGTGTAGCTGCTAATACTTGCTAATTTGTGTGTATTCATTAATATACTTACTGTTTCTTACTGTTTCAGGTTCAAATTTGCTACACAGTCTGCTGCTCTTCCTTTGCTTTTGTGATGTTTCTTTTGTGTTCGTCATTTGTGTTTGTAGACAATTTTGGATATTCTTTTTTTCGCTCATTTGTATGTTATCGTTTTCTATAGGCTCTTCTTGTAACTGCGAATTTTCACGCATGTACATTTTTTATCTTTGGTGCACAGAAGAGGGCAAAAATGGCGATAAAACTCGAAGAGTGACTACTTTGGTAAAAGAGAGCATTAAGAACAAGGGATACGCAGTTGACATGATGACACTTAAGAACTGCATTAGTTACATATACTTGCAAAAAAATTATTACCTTTTGGACTAAATACAAGCATATCAAGAGTTTAATTGTTCAATATCACTCTAATAATGACATCTCAGCACTGTGACTTAACTGGAAGTATCTTTGCGCACCATCGCCATACAAGCCATACTAAGGTGCTATGTGAGCTATAAGATAGAGGCTTCCGATGTAGCCAATTTTTTTACTCTATATTCTCAATATTTTTTTAGATTTTTGAGGAAAATTTCATAACGATATCTCAACGGGGAAATATTTATTGCCGCGGCTCCATACAAGCCCAACCAGTGTGCACAGGTTCGTAGTTTGGCGGAGGCCTCTGAAAAACGCATCCTTATTTAATATTGATTAAAGTGTATTATATAGGCTTAAATTGAACTGCAAGTATAAAGTATAAAACATAATTTTTAAATGTTCAGTAGTTTCAGAGCTATTTGAATTCCTCTCATAACTCCATGTTAGATCCACTAAAAACTATGAACCGTTTTCATAGCCAACAAATGTTGTTTTGATTTTCCACATATTAAAGGCCTCTTTTTTATGGTAGCAATGTCTTCTATGATTGTTTGTGAAGCTTGGGACTAGTGCTGATAATTCGTACAAGTAAAACTCAAATAGTTATGCTCCCAAGATGCTTCAACACAGTATCATTGAAATCCTTTATTTTTATTTTTTTTTAACTGGTTTAATATTTTGATATTCATTTACATTCGATCTTATAATTTAATAGATGCAATGGCATTTAAAAGCCAGCTCCTTTCGTCAGATACACTTATGTATTGTGTACGACCATCGCAATATGTATATCCTGCCGAAACGACACCCACAAGTTGTTGGTCTACAACCAATGGTCCACCAGAGTCACCATAACAAGTCGTTTGTCCATATGATCCGGCAAAAATGAAAAACTGATCAACCCTTAATATAAGGACGTCTACGCCGTGAAGGTGAACCGGATATGAGTACTTTGCATATGTTGATGTTGCTCCCCATCCGGAAACCATTGCAACTGTTCCAGGAGCAGGATTCCTCTCGGCCAAAGGGATACTCTTGACTTTGTCGGTGAAATTAAGAGGCTCACTTAATCGCATGACGGCAATGTCTTTGGTGAAATTTGTACTGTTATAATTCTCGTGAGACCTTATGGCGGCCACTTTGACAAGGGTTCCTTTGGAGTTCGACAACGACGAGCCCACGCGAATTAGGAAATCTCTGGCCTCCAGTCGACGTTTTTTTTTATCAAAACGGCAGTGGGCAGCAGTTATGATAATATCCTTGCTGTAAATAGAGCCTCCACAATGGGGTTCCCCATTCACTTGAAGGGACACCTGCCAAGGAGCCTGTTCTATTTCAATGTTCTGCCCACCGATAATCCTTTCCTCCGGTCGAGGAACTCGTCCTGCAGACAGGAAACCAATTGCCAATAGCAGTAGAAAACTCTGGATGAACATCTTCACTGGCTTGGTTAGGACTTTGGATCACAATGTCTGAACTACCGACGGAGCAAGTATTTTATATGCCATGGCCTGTAAGGTTCTTCAGTTATTTCTAAATTTAGCACAAGTTTCAGCGTGGGGAATTCCAGTAATTTTTTCGTATTCTGCAAACATTGCTTAGTCCCCTAAGATAAGACACATTTAAAATATCGAAACCTATTAGACTATATATAGAACAGGAATGCTTACTAATTACTAATTCTATAATTTTTTTGACTATATTTGGCACAAGAAGTGACAACAATATAGCTTTAAGGACGTGGACAAGGTTATTTTTTTAATTTTATTGGCTCATATGTTGCTTAACAATTTTGCAATTTTTGGCAAGGATTCAATGTGTTTCATTAATTATACCCATTTACTTGTTTAATACAAAAGATATGAATTATAGAGGTGCGGTCCTTGCTTTACATTTAATATTTAACTGAGTGACTCAGAAACTCGTAAGCAGTTAAAACAAAGCGAGAATTAAATTTGTTACAAAAAAGTAAATTAGCAAAGTTGTAAAGCAATATATTAATCTAAAACAAGAAAAGGAGCCTGGAAGCTAATAAAAAAAATATTCTACAGAACGTCTTAATTTTGATTTGTATGCGAATAGTTTATTTTCCCATTAATCTTTTAATCCTTTCTATGGAAGCTATATGACAGTTGTTGGCCGATATTTATAAAATTAAATCCGTAGTTCTATAATAGTAAACAATCTCGGAGTATATTTGTTTAATTTGAATAAAATAATATATATAAAATAATATAGTATATATTTATTTCATGTATGTATTTTCCGTGTGCTCCTAAGGAAGCTTAAGACACAGAAAAAAATTACCAGTATCAATTTGATATTCACGGGTCAACAAAAACGTATGATTTTTATACCCCTGCAGAGGGTATTATAATTTCAGTCAGAAGTTTGGAACGCAGTGAAGGAGACATCTCCGACCCTATAAAGTATATATATTCTTGATCAGGATCACTAGCAGAGTCGATCTAGCCATGTCCGTCTGTCTGTCCGTCCGTCTGTCCGTCCGTTTCTATGCAAACTAGTCTCTCAGTTTTAAGGCTATCTGCATGAAACTTTCCCAAAAGTTGTCTTTCTATTGCAGGTAGTATATAGTAGTCGAAACGAGCCGGATCGGACAACTATAGCATATAGCTCCCATAGGAACAATCAAAAAAAAAAAAAAAAAAAAATTATAACTTTGCTGTTTTTTAATTTTTTTTTATTTCTTCGACATATAGTAATGGTTAAATATTTCAGAATTTCGGTTTAAATTTCATCAAAATCGGACGACTATAGCATATAGCTCCCACAGGAACAATCGAAAAAATAAATGAAAAAAAATTATAACGTTGCTGTTTGTTAATTTTCTTTTTTAGTTCTTCGACATTTAGTAATGGTTAAATATTTCAGAATTACGGTTTAAATTTAATCAAAATCGGACGACTATAACATAAAGCTTCCATGGAAACAGTAAAAATTATTAAAAAAAATTTTATAATGTAACTTTTTTATTTTGTAATTTTTTTTCTTAAATTAGTTTTGACTTATTAATAATTTGACAGTTCAGAATTACCGTTTTAATTTTATTAAAATCGGAAAACGATATCATATAGCTGCCATAGAAACTATCGATGCTTCAATGCTTCAATGCTTTTAAACATAAATGAAAGTAAATCAGCTAACCGAAAGTAAATCATTAATGCTTTCAAGAATATTTAATTTTTGCAATAGCTGCAAGGGTATATGAACTTCGGCTTGCCGAAGTTTGCTTCCTTTCTTGTTATCATTGAATACCATTACCAGAATAGTGTAAATTCGATATTAAAAACCACTTTCGCTCTTTATTAGAACTTCTTAGTTTTTGAGAAAGTTTCATAAGGGAAAAAAATGGTCATAGAAACCAATTGTTGCATGAATTTTAGACAGTATAGTATGAAAAATGAAAAACGGACAAACGTTCAGGTGGATATAGCTAGACCGATTCTTTTAGCGATGTTGATCATTAATATATAGTATATATATATAGTTTATAGGTTTATAATTTTTGCAATAGCTGCAAGGGTATATGAACTTCGGCTTGCCGAAGTTTGCTTCCTTTCTTGTTACCATTGATTACCATTACCAGAAAAGTGTAAATTCGATATTAAAAACCACTTTCGCTCTTTATTAGAACTTCTTAGTTTTTGAAAAAGTTTCATAAAGGAAAATAAATGGTCATAGAAACCAATTGTTGCATGATTTTTAGACAGTATAGTATGAAAAATGAAAAACGGACAAACGTCTTTAGCGATGTTGATCATTAATATATATAGTTTATAGGTTCCGAAATGCCCCCTTCACAGCGTTGCAAACTTTCCACTGACTTATAATTAAAAAAAACCTTGTCTACGCCTTCAAAGATACATTGCTTTCACTTCTTGTGCTAAATTTAGTCCACAACAATGAATATAAATATTAATTTCTTTTTCAAATAAGTAAGAGTTGTGACTTTATTAAGTCTAATTGGTTTCTGTAATTTACGTTTTTCTTATCTTTAAGGGAGTAAGCCATATTAGCAGGAAACGGAATAATGATTAGCATTCCCCACGTTGAAACTTGTGCTAAATTTAGAAATAACTGAAGAACCTTACAGGCCATGGCATATAAAATACTTGCTCCGTCGGTAGTTCAGACATTGTGATCCAAAGTCCTAACCAAGCCAGTGAAGATGTTCATCCAGAGTTTTCTACTGCTATTGGCAATTGGTTTCCTGTCTGCAGGACGAGTTTCCCGACCGGAGGAAAGGATTATCGGTGGGCAGAACATTGAAATAGAACAGGCTCCTTGGCAGGTGTCCCTACAAGTGAATGGGGAACACAGCTGTGGAGGCTCTATTTACAGCAAGGATATTATCATAACTGCTGCCCATTGCCTTTATGAAAAAGAACGCCGACTGGAGGCCAAAGATTTCCTTATTCGCGTGGGCTCGTCGTTGTGGAACTCCAAAGGAACCCTTGTCAAAGTGGCCGCCATAAGGTCTCACGAGAATTATAACAGTACAAATTTGACCAAAGACATTGCCGTCATGCGATTAAGTGAGCCTCTTAATTTCACCGACAAAGTCAAGAGTATCCCTTTGGCCGAGAGGAATCCTGCTCCTGGAACAGTTGCAATGGTTTCCGGATGGGGAGCAACATCAACATATCCAAAGCTCTCGTATCCAGTTCACCTTCAAGGCGTAGACGTCCTTATATTAGGTGTTAATCAGTTTTTCCTTTTTGCCGGATCTTATGGACAAACGTCTTGTTTTGGTGACTCTGGTGGACCATTGGTTGTAGACCAACAACTTGTGGGTGTCGTTTCGGGAGTATTTGAATATTGCGATGGTCCAACACAATTCATAAGTGTATCTGACGAAAGGAGCTGGCTTTTAAATGCCATTGCATCTATTAAATTATAAGATCGATTGTAAATGAATATCAAAATATTAAACCAGTAAAAAAAAAAAAAAAAAAAAAAGATTTCAATGATACTGTGTTGAAGCGTCTTGGGTGCATAACTATCATATTTGGGGTTTACTTGTACGAATTATCAGCACTAGTCCCAAGCTTCACAAACAATCTTAGAAGACATTGCTACCATAAAAAAGAGGGCATTAATATGTGGAAAATCAAAATAACATTTGTTGGTTTTGAAAACGGTTCATAGTTTTTAGTGGATCTAACATGGAGTTATGAGAGGAATTCAATATTTAAACAAATAGCTCTGAAACTACTGAACTTTTAAGTTCATATACCCTTGCAACTATTGCAAAAATTAAATTTTCTTGAAAGCATTTTAATTATGATTTACTTTAGGTTAGCTGATTTACTTTCATTTATGTTTAAAAGCATTGAAGCATCGCTAGTTTCTATGGCAGCTATATGATATCGTTTTCCGATTTTAATAAAATTAAAACGGTAATTCTGAACTGTCAAATTATTAATAAGTCATATTTTCTTACTGTTTTCATTCGGGCTTTATGTTATAGTCGTCCGATTTTGATTAAATTTAAACCGTAATTCGGAAATATTAAACCATAACTAAATGTCGAAGAACTAAAAAAATGCGGGAAACCGTCTACGAGATCATGTTTGAGGCTAGCAACGAGCGGGACAGCCTGGCGCACCTCATCCTGCGCTCCATCCTCGACTGCACCCTGGACGTGAGGCGTGCTCTGGTCGAGAGTGTGTTCCTCGTGGGCGGCGGCTCCATGGTCCAGGGCCTGCTGGCCCGACTTCGCCAGGAGCTGCAGCACCTGCTCGCCAAGGATCCCTTCTACGCCGAGCGCTTCCACGGCAAGCTGCAGTTCAAGTTCTTCAATGCCATTGGCAAGCAGAACTTCACCGCCTGGCTGGGTGGCGCCCTGTGCGGGGCCACGGATCTCATCCAGACAAGGTCGCTGGTCAAGGAGACGTATCTGAAGAGCGAGCACGTCCCCGACTGGAGCAACCTGTGCGACAATCGGCCCACAGCACTGTGGTTGCGCCCATAGGCCAAAATTAAAAAAATCGACAGTACCAAAAATTATCGATAAGTATACAAATTGTTTCAAAAATTACCAAGCTTCTTAATGGCAAACCGGATTTTTCTGGAAATCTAACGGGATTTTCTAAAAATAGAACGCAAAGCGTGAACACTTGTTCGATTTTGCAGTGCAGCGCCGTTACTTTAGCATTTCGTCAAAACAAAGTTGCACTTCAAAGTGGTCAAACGTTCGCAAGAGAGGTCCGAATTAGTTTATTTAAAAAGAACTTTAAAGTTTCAGGTATTTACTTTACTAAGTTATTTTTGTGAAATTAATCTGTTCGATTTGTTATTTTTTGTGTATGTTTGATTATTGATCCTTTATTTATTTATTATGTGAACGTCATTTTCATGTTTAAATAGACTTTTATATATGTATGTTACCCCCGATCCCCCTTTAGGAGTGTTATCAGTGTATTTGTCAATGTTTGAAGGCAATAAAAA